TTCTTATTGTTAAATGACTCTAATCAGTATCGGGGACAATAATTTGACTGGGTTTTTCTTAATTCAGATTTTCTGAAATGAGGTTTTGTGATTCCATGAACAGTTCATATCCCTCCTGTTGCAGTTTGCTCCTTTAGCAAACTGTTAGCATGAGCCAATATGATCCACATCCACTGAAGTAATTCAAATAGTTGTCTACAACATATAAGATATTAATTATTCCTAACATGTCCCCAGAAAACCCCCTTCCTAATATCTGAACTATCAATAAATGGTTGTTGCTTTTAATGAAAAGACATTTGGCACCAGCAAGTGGACGCAATGCCAAAAAACACAAATATTTAACAAAGGCATGCCAGAGAATTTCTCATTAACCTAATGGACAGTGGAAAGCAGAGAGGTATATAATACACATTATGTGAGTGACTTGTAGTGATGTAACAAATTAAAATAAGGAAGCATAACTGCCAAGAAAATGACTATGTTTTAAAAGTTTTAAATACAATATATATCATTAGGAGTTATTAGACCATCCAAAGCAGCTGACCAAGAATGATGCTGTGTGACGAGTCATTTTTAAACACTCAGCAAACAATGCCTCATGTCAGTTCAGATGGGGACACAAAGTTGCATGAGAAACTTTTTGCAGTTCGGTCTGAAGTCGCTCGTTTGTAATGCAGTCTCATTTCAGAGAAGATTTATCCATGAAGGCGGTTTCTGGTGCCAGATATCCATAGGCGCTATTGGAAAGCAGCCATGTTTGTTTGTTTCTTTGCTGCACGCAGTATATGTCATGCGAAAGCTGTTTGCAAACTGATGATGCCTCATGAAAATTTTATGAGAAGATATTTTTCCCAAAAAAAAAACGGTGGTTTGGACGAAAGCAAGGGAAGATATTAATTAGCCACATCACAGCGGGGAGGGGCCGACTTTAAGATGTGGATAAACCATGTTGGCACTCGGAATAAGCATGGGCTTGTTTGTGGAGGTTAGCACGTGGCTAACACCGCAGAACAGACGGGCGTTTCTGGACCTGGGTTCTTACGACATTTAGAATATTCAAATCAGAGATCATGCTGCTGCAAGCCAGAAATACATCCTCCTGAGACAAAGCTGCTCAAGGCTTTGGTTTTTTCTTTTATTTATTCTTCTTTGTTTTGCTAAAGGAACACATTTGGAGCAAGGTGCACTGTGAGTTATCTTCTTTCACATCTCAAACGGCAGCAAGACGTAGCCCCACCAACCTCTTGTTCAGTAGGAAAATTGAGACGCCGGGAGAAACAAGACAGCTTAGACAACCTGGCAGCGCCATCTGCCATCATCAAAGAACATCAAAGCTGCAGCTCTCCTGAATGCTCCTGCTTGCTGGCTTCTGCAAAAAGACTTGGACATTTTTGGATATTTGTTTGTTACTTCAGATCTTTTTATACTAGAAGTAATTTAGGCAAGTAAACCTTCAAATCGCTAATGTCTCCCGTGGGAAAACATTACAATCAGCATTACTTCCTGGGTTGGTTGTCTATGCAGTCGCCTCGAAACACGATGCCTAGGTGGATTTGCTAATATCTGCTGAATATGTGCTGTGCTCGGAGCTGCCTTTGAAAACATGTTATTGACCTAAGCATCTCACATTAGTTTCAAAGCTCATTGGTACACCAGCCCACAAACACAGCAGTTTACAAGTCTGTGGGACCAGCTCAGCTGTCACACTCTAGCCCCAAATAAATTACATTTCTCCCCTCAGAAAGTCAGCGATACAGGCAGTTGATGTCCCTCATAACATTATTAATACTTTGGATTTGTCTGTCTGTGATTGTAGTCTGCCTCAGCAAGCTAACAGCATGCCTGCAGCTAAAAATGAAATAAAGATCAGCAGATGTCTTGTTTTTGCTGAAGATAAAGCTGGAGCATGCATGCCACATTTGGTTTTAACCCTTTGAAGCCTGATAAATGAAATGAGTTTTTTTAAGACAAATCTATTAATAGGCTTTATTTTTATAAACCTCTTCACTGTTGTTGGTTTTGTGGTACACTTGTTTCCATAAAGTTCTTATAAGTATAAACTTCACCACCAGCAGAAGTACAATCCCATTGTTCCAGTGCATCCAGAGTACAGGACCAGCAGGGACCGTGTAGTATTTTAGCTGAAATAACACTCATTTTCTGAAGTTCTTTCTGGAGAAAACCATAGCATGGACAGCTAGGATTCAAACCGGCAACCTTCTCAATGCAAGGCAATTGTGCTGCCACTGCGCCACTCACGCAGCCTGAAAAAAAGAATTACAAAATACAAGGGAAATTTCCATTATTGGAATGCAACATGTTCTTGGCTGCACCATTATGTTCAGAAATTATGGAATTACAGTTACATTGGTCAGATCTTAACATTTTCATTCCTATGCAATAGTGCACAGAATTACTAGCCTGGCCCGCCAGACTCATCTGTTTAATTCTGCACAGTACACCAGTATCTGTACTTAAAGTGGGCGCGGCTTAACCTGGAAGTGGGTGTGGTTTACATCAATACATTATTTTAAGTCTGAAATTGATATGGATTGATCAGAAGTTGCTATGTGTATTGTTTATTAAGGAACACACACACACACACACAGACAGACAGACAGACAGATGTTTTCAGATCTATCTTGTCAAATGCACCACGTAAGTTACGAAAAAAGTTACTTTAAATATTTAACAGAAAAAAAGGCAAGCTGAAGAAAACCTAGGGAGTACTGAAGAAACGTGAGCAACAGGGAAGCAAGCACAGAGAGATCCGTTATTGTCTGTGTGTGTGCGTGGATGGGCCGGACGTGGACTGAGCTCCCGGTTGCAGAGTTTTGTGTGTAGGGAGGGGTGGGTGCTCTGTGACTGGCCAATCACAGAGCGTGAAGACAGTCAGTTACCCAATGAGGATTTCGCTTCATCACGATTATAGATATTTAAGAGTTTTACTCGTTTCATGCTCGTATTCGTCAAAAATTATTTATCTGTATCGGATACTCGTCTGAAACGAGTATCCGGCTCATCCCTACTGTTAACTCACAGGCAGAGTGCCACTTGAGGGGTGGGACTAGGCAGCTCAAAAATAACCAATCAGAAAAAAGACGGAAATGCCGACTGTACCGCGCGACGTTGTAGTTTTTTAGCTGTAGTCAAACATAGCGTCTGGCAACTGCGCAAACATCTTTTAGAAGAAATGCTTTTAGCGCTTCTACTTGTTGTTTTAAAGACATGTTCAAGTCATTTAGAACAGAGGACAGAACCGCAGCAAACTCCGCTGCTGTCTTCATTGTTTATGAGAAACTGAGCGTCGCTGTGTGAGATGTTCGCAACGCTGTAGTTTTTTTAGCTGTAGTCAAAAATGGCGTCTGGCGACAGCACAAACATCTTTTTTTAGAAGAAAGGCTTTTAGGACTTCTACTTGTTGTTTTAGAGATGTCCAAGTCATTTAGAACAGAGGAAAGAGCCACATAAAACTCCGCTTCAGTCGCCATGTTTATGACAAACTCAGCGTTATGGTGTGTGGCGTACGCTACTCAGCGCTGATTGGCTCGGTTAGAATTGTCAGAGGATGGGGTTCTTTGAATAGGACAGTTCCCAGACCCTTTCTCTGTGCAGAATTATTATTCATAATTATTATTTATTTTTTTAAATAATTAGTCAATTAGTCCTGAGTTTTTCATGCAGGCTGAAGTGAAAAATAGTCTCCTACATTAGCTTCTTTTTTTTCTTTCCCGGTGTCCTGTCTGGCTGTGAAGCAAACAGAATTAATGCCTGAATGCTGGTGACAAGCCTAACAGATTACTCTCAGGTGGAGCATCAAAGCTTCTGCTTTTAATGTCACGCCTGATACTTAAAACTTTATTGTTATTGTCCTACGTTAGCTTCTGATAGAAAGTAGATGGAAAAACACTTGGTTCAGAAAAGCCCGACAAATGTAAGTCACACTGTCACTTAACATCTTGACTCACGACGGGGAAGGCTGTTGTTGGTTTGGCGTCCGGGAAATGGCAGAGAACATCTCGGCTAGTAGAAAGTAACTGTTAGCATTAGCATCTCCACCACACAGCAGAACTCCTTCAGGCTTGTGTTATTTGTGGAAATAAAACCTCATTGTTGCAAAGCAAAACAGAATCAGTGGTAGTGTTGCTGTTATCCAGTCAGAGGCAAGATGTCCAAATATGAGGAAATAAGACTCCAAATGCTGCCACCTGAAGCTACTTTCTCCTCCAGCTGAATTGTACTTCCTCAAACAGACACACCAGAGCTTTTTTTTCACCCAGAAGTACAACCAAATCATTCATTCCTACTGGAGACCACTGCAAACATATTAAAATATGAGTAAATTTGACCAATAATGGCATCAAAATTGATTTTGATCAATTTCTTGTGTTAAGGTTGATTTAGTTTGTTATTTTTTTATTGTATTATAAGTGCATAAATTGCAGATACAAATCCAACAAAGATTTCCTCAGAAATTAAGTCAAATCAATCCATTGGTTCTCAAGATAACTGTGCTTATAGTTGGACAAGGGTTATCCCTACAGTTAGCTGCACAATATTAAGCAGAAATGTTCTGTAATGTCTAAAATTCCAGATATGGGAAGGGGGATCGCTTTCACCCAGTAAAATACCATTTCTTAATCCAGGGTCTTTAAATCGGACTGAGTAATGGTTATCCATATGTGTAGCAGCTAGCTGGAATCATGTTACTCTAGATGTACAGTTATGATTGCTGTTCTAAAAATCTACATCAGTTCTTGAAAAAAATTGCCATCACAATTATCATCTCTTGCGTTTTGGCAGAGGGAAGCAACAAAGACTAGCGTAATGTAAAAAGGACTGATAGCGTTTTGCTAGAAGTTATAGTTGGTTAGCATCCATCACTCTGCTGCTTTTCAATCACTTCTGTGTATTTTTCCATCAGCTGGCTCTCTGGTGTCAGTAGCTCAAGGTCTCATTAAACCGCTCTCTGACTCTGTTTCTCCACCTGTTTGCAGAGGACCAACTGCCCCCTGGTTTCCCCACCATAGACATGGGCCCACAGTTGAAGGTGGTGGAGCGAACGCGCACCGCCACCATGCTCTGTGCCGCCAGCGGCAACCCTGACCCTGACATCTCCTGGTTCAAAGACTTCCTCCCTGTCAACACCACCAACAACATTGGCCGCATTAAACAGCTCAGATCAGGTAGGCTTCCCGCTGCTGAAAACCTATTACCAAACAGGGAGTCTTCTATCTGATCTGCTCCCCACATCGTATTCGCTCTTCTGTCATCCTCTACTTCCTGCCATAATTTAAATTCTCATTTGGCTTTTAATTTATAGGTAATGGCATTGTTTCTACTATTTCCTGTTCTCTGTTGGCCCCAAACCCTCCACTTGTTGTGTGTGTCTGTTTGTCTCCCTTTGTCTTCTAGTGTTGTCATGAGCTATTGGGATCGTTTCTTCGTGTTTTTGCTGGCTTCAGCCTTAACTTCTGCCCTCATTGCTCACTGCTGTGACTTTCTACACATAATTCTTTTGCTGTTTTGTGTTTTACTTTCCACTGCAATGGTGCAGTATCCTTTAAAACCATATCCTTCATTTATGTCCTTTTCTTCTTTTACAAAATAACAATAAGTAACATCCAATATTTGGCTTATAAAAATAGGAAAAACATGCAGAATAGCAAAGTCTAAATTTGTCCATTGACATGTTCTTATTTACATAACATCATTAGTGTAAGAAAAAAGTAAACATGTACGTTAATCAGCCACAGTAGTGCGTAAAACGTCATAAAGCTTTACCATTTTCCTTACATTCTTTAATTTTACAGCCCCTGCTTTAATGTTTAGATCCTAGTTGTGGTTTACTTTGCTTTTTGTGCACTCGAACAAGCCCCAACTAATCTGATATCCATGAAGCGGTGCAACGGTACACTTAAGCAACAGGACATAACTCAGATTTAGGGTAGAATTAAGGACAAAAAGTTTTCTTTCTTATTAATATTATACTTATTGAATTTGAATCGGTGCCCTAAGGCAACGGCTCCAAGAGAAGTTGAAAAACAAACCAGATAGAAGAGTTGTTTATTCAGGCTTGATGCAAAATATAAGACAAAACAGTACTTAATGACATGTCCTAGCGTGAAGATACAAAATAAAAAGTGACAAAATTCACAGCTAGCTAAAATGCTAAAATGGGCGTTCCATGCAAGTTTGGTGCTTAGAAACCTTTAGAAACAGTGTTTAAAATTAAACAATTAGTGATTGTTTTTGCTTTCCTGTTGACTTTCCATACAGAACGTTTTTATTTATGTACCCTTTTTACTGTTCCTTTAGGCTGTCTACACAATCTGTGAGGCTTTCAGCCATTCATACAAAACATATGACCCTTTGGTTTTGAATATTCAAATAACAAGCCTTTTTTGCTTCCCTCTGCCCTTTTGACTTTCCTCCACCAAACCACTCTTTTTTTGCTTTTCATTTGAAAATTTTGGTCCATTTTTATTTCCATATACCAATTAAGGATCAAATCTTAAGGCTTTCCTAACACAAATTATTACAATCTTTAGCTTCTAAATACTCTATGATATTATTGTCATTCCAAACACATCTTTTTGGTGATTACTCTGCTGGCTTTTCATAGAAGATTATTAGCCCTTTGCGGCTTTCCATATATTTCACGTTCTAAACGAGCCTTTCCTACGTTTCTATAGAAAGCCAATATATTTTCCATCAGACTATATGATGTGTACCGTGATGGTTCGATATGACACATGTACCGTTACACCGCTAATTTTGGAGGAAGCACTAATTTTTCCTTAACAAATTATACGGTAGCTAGCATCTCTATGTGCCAGTTGGCAAAAGCACTTTAGGCCAACTTCTTCAATTCTCACTCTTGTGTGTTTGACCACCTGTCGTCACAGATGTCACAGCTGTTGTTTCTGTTAAAACCGTCATGTTTAACCTTACTTCCTTTGCTCACTCTGTTTTTTAGCTGAACTGTGTCAAATTAACCTTTTAATTTCTCTAATGTGCGACTTTGATTCACGCACAGTTGCTAAAGCATTAACGAAAGCTTGTTAACTTAAACGTACCTAAAAAATATAATCCAATTCTTATGCTGTCTTTCTTCTCTCTATACTTTTTTAATCTACAGAATCCTTTGGTAAGTGCTTAGCTCTAAAGCACACATCACCCCCTTCCACTAATTTCCATGTTCCAACAACTATTAAAATGCATGGCATGCATTTTACTAACAGATAGCTTAGTTTCAGGGCTAGACAAACACACACTGTTCCCCTCACCCCCTCCACCCACAGTGTTCAAGTGTCCACCACTGACAAGGATCACATGATCGTTAGGTGTTAGCTATTAGCCATTAGCCTTAGCAAAAGCTTTTTTTTTTCTCCGTATACTGATCTAAGCAATAACCTGTCCTCACATGTTCTTTCCTCACTTATTCTTTTAACACCAGCACCTCAGGGATGGAAAGTTCAACAGATGTAGGGAGGTGACCAACACTGCTTTCATATAAAAAAGCAAAAAAAGTATTTTCCTTCAGTAGATGGTCTACAAAAGGCTTCTCAAATGGCACCCCTGTGGTACATCAATGCACAAAGTTCTTCTCTCTGACCTATGAAGTTTTTTTCTCTCTCTATGATGAATCCTGTCTTTATTTGCCAGAAGAGTACAGAAAAAAGTACTCTATTCTCTTCTCTCTTTCTTGTAATACCTTTTTTTTACCTACTCTGTTAAATCTAATTTAATTCTTCTTCCAAAGCCCCAGCCTCTATCTGCCCGTACTAATGCTTCTTCTTTCTAATCTTATTTGCATTCATATTATCCACCCAGGTGGTACACCAATAAGAGGTAAGAGTGCTGAACTGACGTTCACAGAATGAAAATACAAGTTCATTCTTGCTGTCAACCCATCCGTTCATTACAATCACGTCCATTTTTGTCCCGTTTACAAAAGACCAAATTCCATTCCGTTCGTATGGACCATCCTTCTTCTTTGTCCCGTTTTGTTGACTAAAATTGTATTCCATCATGTTGTCTATGCCTTATTTACTCCTTTGTGTTCTTGTTTTAAGAGCCCATTTAGCTCAGTTGTGATATGCTTGCCTTGGCCCTCAAATAAGCATATACAATGGCGATTCTTTTTTTAGACAATACTTTTTACGTTCACTTTTCTTTTTTTTCCTTTTCTTTTTAGCCATAGCAAACCATGTGTCCCTCTTCTTGTCCAACTAAAACAACCAAGCATTTTTCTCCCCTTAGCTGTTCTTGTTCAGCACAACAAAAAAAAAATCACAAAAAACCCATGCAGATGCTGTGGAGACATGCTGAAGACGACATTGCCTCTCTTCTGCTTTTTTCTCCCAAAGAGTTCTTTCTATCTTTGCAAACTTTTTTTTCCCATATTTCTGCTATTTGCTTTCCTCTCCTGTACCTCTACAAAAAAGCCCAAACAACCACTTTTTTGATAAAGTTTCTACGGTGCTTTTTTACCTCTTTCACCCTATTTTTCTTACTTTTCTTGGGTTTGGAAACTATTTTCCTTTTTGACTTTTTTATTTTTTTTCTTCAGGGTTTGGGAAGGCTAACAGTAGAGTCTGGCGAGGACCTGATTGGCTCATTTTTGCCATGTGACATGGAGCGGGAGAGTTGTTGATGCGTAAAGCAATTTTTCTCTGGGTCATGTGACCCCACACTGCTGATCCCATTGGTGGATTTTTATGGGTGTCTTTTGTAGCTTTTCACAAGCTAAAGCAGTGGTTGGTTGATTTTCTTGTTGGCTCAGGCCATATTTTGAATTTTGTCTTCTAATACATTTGCATTTTATTTTTCAGCTAAGGGTTGTCAAAAGGTTGTAAGTTGTGTCGACATACATTTCTTGCTAAGATTTGCATGTCAAAACTTTTATTAGAGGGTTAAATGTTGGTTTTGCTTCATGTGATACTTCAATTACTATTTTTCCCAAATATCTAAGCAGCTTTTTTCAATTTTTTTGTACACGCTGCATTTTTTTTTGTTTTTGAAAACTGCTTCGCTCCGGTGAAGTTCAAATTGATTCTGTAGGCTGAATATTACAACTGATCTGTGATTGAATATGCTAAAAGTCATACCTAAAATTCTTTCTTTCAATTGTCCTCCCTTGTTACGCTGCTTTCTTATACTGTAAACCTCTTTTCTTTGATCCATGTTTCCCTGAAGCAGTATCACTCATCCCCATATTGACCAGTCCAGTGATATGTTGTATATGAATAGGCTTGCCCCCCTTTTATGACTTTTTGTTACCATTGACGATAGGATGAGTGTCTTTTTAGATAAGTGACATATTTTTCCAAAAGAGGTTATAAACACAGTAAACATGTTAGGATCAATAGGTGTATATTTTCAGTCATTTGGATTTGGTTTACTATGTTTTCCTTATTTTAATTTGTTCCTTTTAAGCCCTGTATTGAAATGTTTTGCATGATTATCAGTTGTGGTTTCTTACGCTTATAGTAGAGCAGCACAATCTCCATTTTATCTCAATGAGCCAGTCTGCTGATTGGTCAGGGATTGTTAATGAAGGATAAAGACTAAAACATAGTGTACTCATTGAAACACAAAAGTACACCCAGTCAGGAGAAAAAGAAAATTCACCCTTGTATCACCACATATTAAAAATGATTTGATCTTTATCGTCTTCAAAAGTTATTAAAATCGAACCTCAAGTGTACAAAAACTCTTAGGATTCTTAAAATAAAACAAACTTTGTTTTGGTGGAATATGTAGTTGTGTGTTTACACAGCCACAGAGTAAAACTATCAGCAAAACCTTAGAGAAGCAACTGCTACCCATCTGGGTAGGGTTAAAGGTCATGCCCAAGCAATTTGGAAGTCATTGTTGCACAGAGAGTAAACATATTTACAAGTTGAAATTATCTAAGAAAGTCTGAAGGTGTAACTTGGATTTTACTGACCATTTCATACAAAGTATACCATATGGACATTGTTTGATCACCTCCAGTCAGGAGAATGTAGAAGAAGAAATCAATACCTGTACAGCTGTCAGTGTTATCGAAGAAAGAACGTCTTAGACAAATTACGCCAAGATGGGACAGTTTGTTCTAAAATCCCAAGAGCATCTTGAACTTAGCAACCATAGGTTAGCAATTTAAAAGGACAATGTTCATTACGCACTACTAGTAAAACTTCATAATGTTTGATCTGGTTGAACCACATAACTTCTGAAAGTAGTCAGAAGTAGGGACATGCAAGTTTAATGAACAGCGCCATGTCTAGTGAAAAACAAACACATGCTATATCTTAAATCAAGCGTGGCTTCCTTATGGGCTCGACACACGTGAGGCGACATCGTCACTCTTCATTTTCAGTGAGACATGCGCAACAAAGCGATAATCGTGGGTCTCCCTCCTACTAAACGAAACGCGAAAAACATGCGTGTGAAATTTTGCGCTCGTGCTCGTGTCGTGCACAGGCGACCCAGCGACGCAATCCCAGAAATTTGAAATACGAAGACCAATCAACAGAGGTTTCATTCACTGGCAAATGAGCGGCAGGATGCTCCGTACATCCCGAGCAAACGTGAAGAAGAAGTTTAAACTTGCTGTGACGGATTTCACAGAACTGTACAATATTTCTACCACAGAATATAGAGATATTCACAAAAAGGCCGTGGCATGGGTCCCTCATTAAATGATGGTATTCTCCATTTCTTTCTCTGGTTTGTAATATCGGATGAACCCATTCTCGGGTTTTTTATTTTTTATATAGTAAAATCAGAAGTAAGATTTCACATAACTCTAGCAGCACCTTGTGAAACATCATATCTACCGCTTTTTTAAACTCTGAACCTCTTAAATAACCTTAATTCCCTCCAACTTGACACAGCCAAACAAAACAATGGAAGATTCGATTTTGCCATGGAACAGAGCGCGTCGCCGGTTTTGCCGCTAGCCGCTGCCGCAGGTCACCTCCCGTGTGTCAGGTAATTAAAGCGACAGCGAGGAATTTCGCTGATCGCGGTCATTTGTCTTCTTCCGTGTGTCGAGCCCATTAGAAGGGCCCAGTGTTTATGGCTGATGCAGGCAGACCGGAACTTAGCTGTAAAATAGTTTTTAGCCGTCAGATTTATTCTTCCCCATACCTTGGCGTATGTCCTGTCACCTAGCATATATAACAGTGCTTAACAGAAGCTAGTGAAAGTCAAGCTCAAAAATTTGCAAAGCCTTTGAATTACTCAGCTTCGTGAACCTACTGTCCCTTGACCACCATACGAGCTTGTTAACTAAATGATAAATGACCCACACTTGTATAGCGCCTTTCAGAGTCAGAGGACTCAAGAGCGCTTCACCCTCCAGTGTGTCATTCATCCATTCACACACATTGACATGCTGGTGATGATGAGCTCCGTTGTAGCCACAGCTGCCCTGGGACACACTGACAGAGATGAGACTGCTGAACACAGGCACCACTGTTCCCTACAACCACCACCAGCGGGCAAGGTGGGTTAAATGTTTTTCTCAAGGAACCAACAGCAGATTTCTCTGCCAGGAGCTGGGATTTATCCCAGAGACCTCTGATTACTGGACAAGCCACTCTACCTCCTGAGCTACTGCTGCCCACATAGCATTTTTGAAAACATTTTACATTAAAACTACATGCAAATGACAAAAGCCTACAACACAATTGCTGTAAGCTTTGGATTTTTATTTTTATTTTTTACATCTAGATAAAAATATACTTAAGTTTCAAACTAGACTATTACCCTGCTTTGCCCAAAATTGTTACAAGGGCCATCAACGAATCAAGCACTGAAACAACTAGACGTTCATTTGTCCCATCGCTTTAACGTAATCAGTCTTGGAAGGATGTGGCACCTAAAATTAGACACAGCCAATGCATATAAGCACAAACAGCTTTTACCAACATAGTGGTGTTGGGCTGATGATTTAGGAAAACACTGAACCCTGTTCTAGAGGCCATCTGTTCAACAGCTTGGACCAAACTGAGTCATAAAACGAGACAATGATCCCAGAGTCAACATCCACCCTAACCCTAAAATGAGCAGCAACACAACGTTCCTTTACAGTGATGATAAAATTAGACTGAAAACTACCATAACGTATTTCGGAAGTATCATATATTGGACTTAGACTAGTTTTATATATTAGTTTTTTTGCATATTAGTTTTTTTTTTTTTTGCATAGTAATTAATTGTAGGGTATGTTTTTGTACACTTCAGGTTAGATTTTGAAAACTTGTCGAAAATGTTAATTATTCTGAACTTTTTGACTATTACATCTTTGTAAATTTAAAGTGGGTGGGCTTTCTTTCTTCCTTTCCCATGACCAGAGTGAGTTATTTATGCAGAATTGGAGAGCATTTACTAAAAACCTTCTTCGAACTGGCCAGGTGGTTCAACACTTTAAAGGACAACATTAAAATAATACAAAGGTGGTGGGATAACAACCTCCTTTACCAGCTTGTTTATTTTTTATTTATTACTTTGATTTGCAAACCTGAAGCTAATACTACAACTTTAACCACATACGTTTTGTTACCCCGTGTGTTATTCTCAATTAGGAGCCCTTCAAATCGAGCAGAGCGAAGAGTCCGACCAGGGGAAGTACGAATGTGTGGCGACCAACAACGATGGAACCCGCTATTCTGCTCCTGCAAACCTTTATGTCAGAGGTATGAAGCTCGGGTTAAAGTGTTCTTCAAACAAATATTCCCAATAAAATGCTCTTTAGGAACTATGAGAATTGTTTGAAATCACCAAATAGTCTTTGTGAGGGCCCGATCCAATGAGGCTATTGTAAGTATGATTTATTATGGCTTGTTTCCTGTTCCTTGCACTTGACTCACCTGCAACTGATTTTAACCTGCAGTATCTACTCCATGGTGTGTTTCTGGTCCTTTTCCGTTAATTATCCCAAGTCTAACACTAGTGACGAAACTGCTTGCTGCATTTATCTACTAATTGCTTTTAAAACACGACTGCTGGAGGTGGTGAAGGGTGGACAGCTCGCCTCCATCAGGCCCCTAATCTTACTCTGTTTTCTGCCCTCTGGATAAACTACTACAAGTTTAATCACATTACTTTTGTTGCTGATAACGTTACATTTGGAAACAAAAAAGTAGAGTGCAATGCAATTATTTGATTGTGTACGAAACTCTCTACCATAAAAAATAAACACTTATCCCGATTTAGGTTCTGATGAAAAAATGTATACAGCAGCCTGGTTTTACAGTAGGAGAATAAACTATTATCTATGCAAGTTTTATTTCAGTGTTAACATTAGTAATTTATTTTAGCCATTTTAACCTCTACATTAGCTAAAGCCTCTCTTGGTTTTGTGTAATGAAAAACAATGGTCTTAAAATTATTAGAAAATTCTTTAAATTTCACAAATATGTTTACATAAAATAGACTCCCTGGCTACTTTATTGGTCATTCAAAAAGTCCTCAGTTCATACTGACATGACCGCATCATCCAGTAAACCCATGATGTAAATCTCCCGTTCCACCACATCCCAAAGGTTCTGGGCTGGACTGAGATCTGGTGACTGTGGAGTCCGGTGAACTCATGGTCATCTTCTAGAAACCAGTTAGAGAGGATCTGAGCTTTGTGACATGGTGGTCATAATGTGAAGGACATGGCCAATTTTTATTTCTTAGACCATTCTCTACATACCCTTGAGATGGTTGCAGTTGAAGATCCCAGTAGACAGCATGCCACATTCAAGTCACTTGAGCTACCCTTCTTCCTTCCAATTCTCACTTAGAATTTCTTCAGGTCGTTTTTATCCACTTCTAGATGCCTAATTGCCTTGAGTGGTTGCCCTGTGATTGGCTGCAATCTCTGTTAATGAGTGGTTGAACATTAGACTGTAACATAGTAGCCAGTGAGTGTATTTTAATGTGCTCAAGCTGTTAAAGTCCCCAAACAGTTCAGAACGGATATTTTATAACTTGTATAATAATAGTTTATTATTGTAAACTGACAAAAGACTTGGAGACAGCTTTGTTCCACGAGTTGAGCTCTGACAGGAGCACTCAGGGCTCACCGGAACCTCATGGTATTCTTGGAAATGTTTGCGTAGCGTTCCAACGCCAAAAGACAAACGGCCATTTTACTCTCTGTGTTTCCCTTGTTTTTTCTCCTTTCCTTACTTTGTTTTGCTCTGCATCAAAATCCCTACATCCTTCAGAGCTACGAGAAGGTTGGTGTGATTTCTTTTGTAATTTAAAATCAAAACAGAAAAAGAAAATTGTATATGTGTTGGATTTGTCACTCCATCCTAAAGACACTGAAACTCAGGATGCAATCCCTTTCATGTCTCTCACTGATGCATTTTCAATATATCTATTGCCACCTCCCAATGATCTTTGTCTGAGTGCTCCATTCTCCAACAGCTGGTGCATGTTTGCATGTTTGGGGGGGATTTGCATCTGCCTGACAGTCTATTTGCATGCTCCTCCTGTTAATGTTTGACCATGCCATTCCTTTTTCCAAGCCTGTCTGTGTTCCTGCTCATTTTTCCAGCGAGTACAACAGGAAGTCTGGCCTTGATCTGTTCGGTTTCTTTATATTCACACGTGAAGCCATCACCGCTGTAACATTATCCTCTTTCATGCTCAAAGTATGTTTAAGAAAAATCTATCCAGTATTGTAATTGGCACTAAAGTCGAGCTGTAAAAACAATCTTGCCTGCTGAGACTGCGCATTTCCTCTGATGAGGATGCAGCTGCTCCAGAAGTCATGAAAGAATGTTCAGTCTTATCCATGACTCTTGACAAAATGTAATGATTTTCAAATGAGCAGGATAATATTATATCTATGGGGAGTGTGATCCAATTGGATATTAATTAAATATTGAGATAGAGGAAACGGTGTATTTAATAATGCAAGCAGCTCCCTTAGATTTTCTCTCTAGAGAGCAGCAGGCTGCTCAGCGGAGTGAGTGTTGAGAGTTAGAGGCAGAAGCTGAGTGAAGCTAACACCTCCACCCAAACACACTTCAGTATTACATACACTTCAATACTGTAATTAAAAAGAGGGTGAAATAACGGGTAATATTATTCAGTCTGTTTATTAAGTTTTCCTTAAAGTACTTGTTCTAATCTAAGGTTGGAACAGTAACCCTGACTTGAGATTAAAATTACATCCCTCTGTTAACATGTGTAATGCACCTGTTTATTTTTTGTCTGTGTTCTAAGCTTAACTTTTTATTTATTCATTTTTGACAAAACATAAAAAATAAGTTTTAACCTAATTTGCTTTTCAATTTCTTTGCTTTCCTCTGTGGTGCCTCCAAGAACATTGACTTATCCTGTCATGCACTCATTTTTAGCCCAATACTGCTGCCATTTATTAACCTAAATAGCTATTTTTTTATCCTAAATAGTCTTTATTATAGCCTTCACAAGCTAATACATCCATCATTCGGTTTTTTTTTTTTTTTGGAAACTTTTTTAAAAGGTCTCATTCACTGAGAAATTGTTTGATACTTTGAGTTATATTGCACACTGTTCGTGAAAATTGTTCTCAAACCCTAACGCCCACATTAGCCGCTGAAAGGAAACAGACAGAAAAATGACTGGGTCAGAAAAGCCTCCTCGACGTTACTGGGAAAATTAGTATTCATGTCCATGTACACTTTGGTTTGCAGCCACGGGCAGCTGTGTTGATTTTGCAGCTAAGAGAGAGCGGTAGAAGCTAGTAGAACTAGCAGCTTCACAACATAGTGATTGAAGTTAGCAACTTCACAACACAACAGTAGAAGCTAGCAACTCCTCAACATAGCGGAACATGCTAAAGTTTTTTTTTACCCAAGACAATATGTTTTACAGTATTCTGAGTTTTGTCATTGAAGGCAGCAGAGAAGTTGTGTTGCTGTTAGCTAGTCAGAGGTGAGAAATTTGCATGTCATGACTAATAATGGGCAGGTTTACAACACAGTCAATCACTCACACAAACACACCTTCACACCCTGGTGATGATGAATAAGACGGAACAATTTTGTATATAGTGCCTTTCAAGATCAGAATCATGGGGCACTTAAATGAGCTGCATTATAGCCACAGCTGCCCTGGGGAGCACTGACAGCCAAAACTGCTGAACAATGGTGCCATCAGCCCCTCAGACCACCACCGGTAGCTAGCAACGTAAGCTAAGTGTTTTGTCCAAAGACACAACGACTGAAACAGACTGAGAGGGGCTCAAGCCTACAACCCTCTGCTTACGGGGTGGGCACTTAACTCTACTAGTCATCCCTACCTACTGACCCACTTCTGACAAACAAGAACATTTTCCCACAGATATGTATGCACAGGACATTCATTTATACTAGAGACCATTTATACTTGAGACCATAGAAAATTATAATAAAAAAGGTGGATGAGACCTTTAAGTTTGCTTGATATATATCCAGTAGCCAATGTTAGCCTGACATCACCTCATATGTTACTTTTATGTTAGGCTAAAAGTGTTACTTTTGTGAGTATGATCAAATTACATCAGGCTTATAGCCTATAGGCTAACAGTCTTGGGTGCCATTTCACACTAAATAGCTAAGTTTCTCATTCCAAACCACCATTCATGGTTTTCTCTCAAATTTGCATTGTATTCTTGCATGATTGATGCTGAAGCCACTATAAAAACGCCTGAGACCATTTTAAGCTTACTCAAAATCGAACCGTGATGTAATATTACTTTTTACATCAACTGTTTTATTTAATAGTGTCACGTTTCGGGGATGTTTAGGACCCAAATATGCAGATACCCAGGAGGACACGAGGCAGGAGTAGACATAAATCCTTTTATTAGAGGATGAACAAAAAAAAATCCAAGGCAACGAGCCTAAAATCCAAAGTCCTGGAGCACAGGACACCCAAAGCTCTCAAAGAGCACGAAGACCAAAGACTTTGAAACAGAAGCTCACCTAGAGCACAAAGTCTGGGGATGAGACAAAAGCTCATAAAGAGCACGAACAAACGCAGACAGAATACAAACAATGGACCGACAAGACACTGAGACAAGACAGGGCTTAAATATACAGGGAGGATGAGAGGGAGATGAGCTGCAGGTGTGTGGGGTGTGGGAGGAGGACCAGGTGAAGGCAATGACTAATCAGGGGAGAAACTAACTTGACCCAAGAATAAAATCTAATACAAAAGAGCAGGAAACATAACTACAATTCAAAGGGAGGGGGGAGAAAAATAATAAACACTGATGGGAAAAAACATACTAAATCATGAAAGGCTGTAACTAAAGGAAATGACTTGAGAAACCTAGAGGGCTGGAGATCTAGGGGCAAATGGGGAAAACCAGAAGACACATGAGGAAGACGCAGACATGACACATGAGGGTGCTAGGACACAAAAGGAGCACCTAGAGAACGAATGGAGGGCACAAGAAGACACATGAGGGGAGATGCAGACACAGACCATGACAAATAGAGCTGTTAAATGTTTTGCGGGCATATGAACTTTAATATTTGGTATTAAAATGCAGAATTGTGTGAATTTCTTTAGAAAAAAAATCAAGTAAGTATTTAAAATTTTATATTCAAAGCATTTAAAGTTTAAACTTAGTTTTCTAAACATTCTCTGAGAAACAGTCCTGTGTTCTGGACAGTAGCAGGACCTTTATTAAAGCAACATTAATCAATAAAGCTCATGGTGGTAACTCCTTTTTGCTAACTACCTTTTCAACTAATTTTAGCTGCCATAGCCTTTTTCAAAGGTCCTCTATCTAATAAGTCACAACAGGGTAATTTTCAATATTGACAAAATTTCAAAAGTATTTTCTATTTTAAAATAAAAAACAACTGAAGGAAAACCTGGTTAAGTTAAGAATAAACAGTAAGAATGGTTTTGCAACAACCTTTTGCTTATCCTAAACAGTTTAAATTAGGTCCAGTTAGCGATTCTGCAGATGAATTCATAGTCAAGAAAGGAAATATGGTGGGACGCATTAATGCATACTTTTGTTCCCATAATAAGCCAAAGACGTCTCATTGGCCTTTAAATTATACACCTTTCCTCTTAGCTGTCAGGCATCATTCAAAAATCTAAAGCCACTTGCAAATGTTATAATTGCTTCACCACTTTGGTGAAATTATTATTATTATTATTATTGTTAAACATAGTCTACATTACATCATATTTTATCTTCCAGATCTCAAACAGATGCAAGAACTTCGATTTGCATTGTGAATCTATCTGATCTTTTTAGTTTATTTGCTTTTACTTGTGACTTTAATCACCGTTGAAAAGAACATCTGACAGCTTTTCTTGCCTTTTCAGGCAAGAAAGCCATCCTGCCTCATTGTTGCGTGTGAGACTTGAGTGATCTGTTTGTGTGTGTGTGTGATGTGACACATCAGCTCACATCAGCGAGCAGCCTAAAAGTTGTTCCTTTTGCATAAATCTGTGCCATTTCATTTGATCACCAATACTTTGTGCAGTTCAGCACGTCCGTACAGTGCCTTGTGTTGTGCATGCTGGTGTTAATCCATTGTATGGTTTAACTGCTTTTATAGAAATTTTGATAATATTCCCTTTTGGCAACCATTGTTAGTGGAGTTTATTCTATTTCCTGCTTACTTTTGTAACTCTCTGTAATGTGGTTCATTTGTAGTACGTCGGGTGCCACCGCGCTTCTCCATCCCGCCTACAGACAATGAGATCATGCCAGGAGGCAGTGTGAATATCACATGCGTGGCAGTAGGCTCTCCCATGCCGTATGTCAAATGGATGCTGGGTGCTGAAGACCTTACTCCGGAGGATGATATGCCCATCGGACGCAACGTCTTGGAACTCACGGATGTGCGCCAGTCGGCCAATTACACGTGTGTGGCCATGTCAACCCTCGGGGTGATTGAGGCTGTAGCCCAGATAACAGTCAAAGGTAAAGGTTTTCTTCTCTCTTTTTTACGTAGCTGCAGTATTTATAGCAATTTCCAAACCATAAGTCTTGTTAGTTCCCTTACACTGATTTTCTTTAAAGGTTTTAACTCTATAACTAATATGACTATACACAGTATATTGTAGAAAGATTTTCTCCTGAAATTTCAATATCAAAGTTTGCTGAATAAAAAAACTAAACATTGCCAGTGATGACTTCATTTATTTAGAGAACAGCATTTTCCGAGGCAATCTGGTCCTGTGAGAGAACCTAATTACCCCCTAATCTTAATAACATGTTATAACACTTTTGGTGACAACTTAAGAATGTGCTTGTGATAACTGGTGGGTCACATTGCTCTGATCCACTCTCATTTACAGCATAGTTTTAATTCAGCCACACTGGAAGGTTTTCCAATTCCTCTTCCAGGTTTTCTTCTAAAGAGGAGAATATTTGATTCCATAAATTACAGCAAATATCCTAGGTCTTGAAACAGTAAAGTAGCCCCAGACCATCACACTACCAACTCCATGTCCAACTGTTGTTATAAGTTTGTTTTAGTGTACTAGAAAGTTCCACTTCTGTCCACAAATATTGTGAATCATCAAGATTGCTTTTGGTAGTTTTGAGATAGGGCTTTAGATGCTGGTGAAGACCATAGACAGAGATAAGAATCATGGGGCACTTGAATGAGCAGATAGACGGCAACGCCTGGTGACCCCTACTGAGGATGTAGTGGTAATACAAAAGGGTTCAAATGAAGGCCATTGGACTCTTTGGTTTCTTGAAGACTTTTCGCTTCTCATGCGAAAAATGTCAATTTGGACTGGAATATGGGAGAGTCACGTTTATAAACTGTAGCTGTATTGTTGTTCAACGAGCTGAAAGTACATATGAATACCCCTCCTCCCTACCGCCTGAGGAATCATTGGAGTTGTCATGCTGTATTGTGTGGAGGTGGTAGTTTTGATTAGATGTAGGAGGGTGGGGGGTCCCGCAGGGGTCGATCCTTGGTCCACTTTTGTTTGCCATTTATCTGCTACCTCTGGGGTCAATCTTTCGTAAACATGGCCTATCATTCCATCTGTATGCTGACGATTGCCAGATTTACTCTCCGTTGTGTCAGGAGAAAGGTCACTCTATTCAGTCCTTTGTCTCCTGTGTTAATGAGGTGAAGTCTTGGCTAATGTCCAACTATCTACATCAGAGCTCATTGTTTTTCACCCCAACAGCAGGAATGTGGATCGTTATGCTGATCTTGGCCCTCTTTCTTCATACTCAAAACCAGTTGTTACCAGTTTGGGGGTGAAACTTGATGTAGGACTTAAATTTGATGCTCACATCAATTCTGTGATCCGGTCCAGTTTCTTTCACCTGAGACGCCTTGCTAAAATCAAGCATATGCTGTCGAGAGCCCACCTGGAGCGGGTACTGCATGCCTTTGTAATTTCTCGGCTTGACTACTGCAACTCTCTCTATGCAGGGTTGTGTCAGTCAACACTGCGTCGCCTACAGGTTGTGCAGAACAGCGCTGCCAGGTTCCTGACTGGGACCAGGAAACGGGACCACATCAGTCCAGTTCTGGCCTCCCTGCACTGGCTTCCGATTTCCTATCGCTCACAATTCAAAATACTCGTCTTTGTTTATCATTTCTTCCAGGGTGGTGTTTATCATTTCTTCCAGGGTGGTGCTCCCCCCTATCTGGCCACACTCCTAAACAGACATTCCCCATCACGCGCTCTGCGCTCCTCTGACCAAGGCCTGCTCGCTGTCCCTCGGTCTAGGTGTCGTACCCGTGGGGACCGGGCTTTCTCAGTCCTAGCACCGTTACTCTGGAACCAGTTGCCACCCTCAGTTAGGCTGTCCCCTTCTCTGCCAGTCTTTAAGAATCACCTAAAAACACACCTCCTCCGCTTGGCGTTTCCAGAACATGTTTGATTATGGCCCTCTATTATGTTGAATCCATTCCACAGTTTTCATTGGTACACTCAATCCATCCACTCAATCCAATTGTGTCTCACACATTTGTATTTTACCGGAATGTTTCATCTATCTTGTAATTTCCATTTTGTATTTTGTAATTTGTATTTTGTAATTTGAATTTCTTTTATTGTTGATTTATTCAGTATAATTACTTACAACTGTACCATGTTCAGCGCTTTGGGCTTCCTGACAGGGTTGCGGAAGGCGCTTTATAAATAAAGCTTTGATTGATTGATTGATTGATTGATTGATTAAAACTCTTTTGGAATTAGGTGTAAAGCTGCATTATAGGTGCTGGAAAGGTGAAACCTGAGGCCTCGTATTTTTAATGTTGGCTTTCCCATTTGACATAAATAGCTTCCTTTACTCCTCTCTCAAACCATGTCTTCTCTGTCCAGAATGTGTACTTTGTCATCTTCAAAAGTGTGTCCCTTGTCCTTCAGCTGTAAGTGGACTGCAGAGTCTTGACCTGAAGAGGTGGCTCTCCTGTGTTGTCATGCACTTGTGTAGGTGTTGTTTGGTTTCCCCTAAGCATAGGTCATAAAACCCTACAAGGCCTACAAGGCATTGTATCAAATACAGGCCATTAACAGTTTTACTATTTCTTGGTCTGAAAATTGTATTTTGTATTTCATCAGGTTATCTTTACCTGATAATGAAATTTGATGTCGCTCATCTGGAACATTCAAGTGTGAGAGAAAAGCAGAAGCTTAATTCAAAACGGGGGCAAATGATTTTCTCACAGCACTGTATCCAGGAAACTGTCTGAGCAATTGACTGTCAGTACTTCAGAGAAAGTGGCTTACCTGTCAACATTTCCAAAGGATTCTTTAACCTCAAAGGGCCCTGTGTCCACATATGTGGACATTGGCTCCTTGCACTTTTAAAATTTTATCATCTTCACCTTAGGCCTTTTTGTTATTATTTATAGACACATGAAATTGACATTGACTTAAAACATTGTTTTCTTTCTTTTTTATAGGAAATTTGACAAATTTTAAAATTTAATTTAATTTTCATTTTATTTTAATATTTGTAATTTTGTTTCCGTTAATGAGAGTAGACAACTCTCTAATAGTTAGATGTATTTTTTCTTTTAAATCACATCAAATACAGGTTCAGGTCTCAGAAGGTTAAAGTTTTAGATGAACCAGGGTATGGGTGTCATGTTGGGGTGTAGATGTTTGACTCACGACATGTAGAATCACCACGGAGGCAAAGGTAAGTAAAAAAGTATTTATTTTTGTTTGGTTGAAGTGCAGGTGAAGGTCTGTGGTCGGGAGGGTCCAATAGTGTTCTGAAGCAGAGACAAGGATGAATAGTTGCAGTAAAATGAGAATAAAGCGAGGTGAGCGGAGGCTTACGGTTTCCTGAGCATTTGGGGAGCTTGATAGGAGGGCGAGTCAGGTCTGGCTGAGCGAGATGGTTGTGAGGGGCAAAGATGATGGCTGGGAACTGAGCACAGGAGTCCAAAGTATCCGAGCGGGGCAGGTGAGCGTTGGAGAGCAGGCGGTCAGGGTGAGCGGCGTGGCTGGCAGGCAGGGTTTTCCGGGAGTTTCTTTCTTGAAGAGGAGTGCAGTCATATGAACGAGAGGTACCTGGGGGGGAGTTGGAGGAGCAGGGCAGGTAAGTACGAGGCTAGCAGGGAACACAGGAGACAACAAGCTAGAGACAAGCAGAGTGCAGGTGAGATACTACCCAATACTGAGTAATCATCCGGCACTGGTGAGTTGTCACGCCGCTCCTTAAATCCCCTGACCTCTGATGAGAAGATCCACAGCAGCTGCTCTCCGGGACAAGCCCACCTGCAAACAGAAAGACTCAGACCCAGACAGAGGTTAGCTCAGCACAGCGCATGACAATGGGCATCAGTTCATTGGACATCAGATTGAGGATGTGGTGAAGTGCTTATCTCTCAGCTGGAGAACTGCAAAACCACAATCCCACCATTAGCAGGATGTAGGAAGGAGGGGGTGCAAGAGTATTCTTGTGTTAAGTACAGTTTGTACAGAAAACACCTCTCTAAGAGTAATCATTTCTACATTGCAATGTACAGGAAAGATATCATAGAATCGTGTTGCTATGCTTACATTCACTCCAGGGAATAGCTCCAGTGCACACACACACACACACACACACACACACACACACACACACACACACACACACACACACACACACACACACACATACACACACACACACACATACACATACACATACACATACACACATACACATACACACACACACACACACTCAAAGCTTTGTTTTTCTGAGACATAACGTAGAGATATTAGTCACAATATAACAGTCTGGCAGGAGCTCCCCTGTAGCCTACTTCAGATGGCATATAAATACAATCTATGGCCCTGATATCTTCTGCTGTGTGCTACAATGCAGGGAATTAAAGCAATAAATTTACCTGTTTAATTATTAAAGTGATAAAGTGAAATCGAAGATGAACGACAACAACAGCACTGGTAAACGCTGAACATGGGGAATACAAGCATCTACGATGCTGTGCAAAAGTCTTGAGTCACCCCTTTTTTGTATTGTGTCAGACTTTGCAGTCTTTTAAACTTTAGTTATATTCAGAGGAGGTTTTTTTGTTTGTTTCTTAAGAGGTTTAGTCTAACATACGCCACTCACAGCCAGTGTGTTAACATGTGCATCAGTAAACCGAACTATTGCCTTAAATAAAATAAAAAAAATTTTAATGCATGTAAACCAAACGAGTGCACTCATTTTCATTGAGCTGAAGTACCCAGATAATGCGGTTGAAAGCATGGTAACTGTTAAGCCGAGTTGTGACCGATTGGACACTAATCTTTTGGAAGAGATGAGACGCGGTCTTCAGATAATTGTAACACCATCGAAAAGAACAGTACGTACCAATGTCCATTCCTTCGAACATTGTACAAATCCTGTTTTTACGCCGTCAGCTTTCTCTTTCCAGTATAAGTTTACTAATGTGTTGCTATAGGCTAAACGAAAGAATGCAAAGAGGACACATGTCACCACCTACTGTAGCGGCATGGAACACACTTCTATAATTCAGTTCTCTGACATGTAAACTAGCATAAAGGCGCCCAGTTTATTGCCAGAATTGACTTAAATGCGCATGTAAACGCACTGAATGATGGATTTGTAGCCTGTCCTGGGCGTACCCCACCCCCCACTCGATGATGTCAGCAGATAGACGGCAACGCCTGGTGTCCCCTACTGAGGATGTAGTGGTTAAGATGGATAGAAATCATATCAGGCACAACATGGCTTCTAAACCTAAAGGATGTACTTTGTTTATATTGACATGAAACAGATAATTTAGCAAAGGAAATATTTGAATGGAAAATTTTCTAATAGCTGCCTAAAATACTACAGAGTGGGCCATTTATATGGATACACCTTAATAAAATGGGAATGGTTGGTGATATTAACGTTCTGTTTGTGACACATTAGTATATGTAAGGGGGCAAACTTTTCCAGATGGGTGGTGACCATGGTGGCCATTTTGAAGTCAGCCTTATTGGATCCAACTTTTGTTTTTTTCAATTGGAAGAGGGTCATGTGACACATCAAACATATTGGGAATTTCACAAGAAAAAAAATGGTGTGCTTGGTTTGAATGGAACTTTATTCTTTCATGAGTTATTTACAAGTTTCTGACCACTTACAAAATGTGTTCAATGTGCTGCCCATTGCATTGGATTGCGACCCTCTTCTTCCACTCTTTACACACTGATATCTACACCTTAAGAGAAATGCCAGCACATGCTTCTAGTATCCGTAGCTTCAGGTGCTGCACATCTCATATCTTCACACCATAGACAATTGCCTTCAGATGACCCCAAAGATAAAAGTTTAAGGGGGTCAAGGAGACCTTGGGGGTCTTTCAACTGGCCCACGATGACAATCCCCTTTCCAGGAAACTGTTCTTCTAGGAATGCTCAGACCTGACACCCATAATGTGGTGCACCATCTTACTGGAGAAACTCAGGGAACGTACCAGCTTCAGTGCATAAAGAGGGAAATACATCATCATGTAACAATTTCAAATATCCAGTGGCCCTGGGGTTTACATTGATGAAGAATGGCCCCACTATATTTGTACCCCATATACCACACTATACCATCACTTGTTTTTGTTCCAACAGTCTTGGAAAGATCTATCCAATGTGGGTCGTTGTCAGACCAATAGCGGTGGTTTTGTTTGTTAACTTCACCATTCACATAAGTTTGCCTCATCACTGAACAAAATCTTCTGTGTGAACTGAGGGTCCTGTTCCACTTTTTGTTTTTGCCCCATTCTGCAAATTCTGTGAGCCAAACTGGGTCATCCTCATTGAGATGCTGCAGTGGCTGGAGTTTGTAAGGGTGCCATTTGTGAGTAGCTAATATCCGCCGAATGGATGTTCGACTAATCCAGTGACATTCGGCAAGTGCTACGCTGTGGGCTCTTGCTGAAATGAAGCTAGGACAGCCACTGATGTTTCTTTGTTAGTGACCGTTTTCATGCATCCACATTTTGGCAAATCCAACACTGAACCACTTTCACGAAACTTAGCAAGCAGTTTGCTAACTGTAGCATGGAAGATGGGTGGTCTAGTAGGGTTGTCTTGCATTGAAATCTGCTGCAATGACCCTGTTACTGCGTTCACCAGATATCAACACAATGTCGATCCGCACCTCATGTGTTAACCTCTTCGACATGTCGATGGCTGTGAACAAAGAGAAACTAACTCATTAAAGAATAAAGTTGCATTCAAACCAAGCACACCGTGTTTTTCTTGTGACATTCCCAATAAGTTTGATGTGTCACATGACCCTCTTCCTATTGAAAAAACAAAAGTTGGATCCAAGATGGCCAACTTCAAAATGGCCACCAAGGTCACCACCCATCTTGAAAAGTTTGCCCCCTCACACATACTAATGTGCCACAAACAAGACGTTTAAGTCAACAACCCTTCCCATTTTATTAAGGTGTATCCATAAATACTTTAAACTTTTGCAAAACACATTTTGTTAAAATTAACTTTTTAGTTAATTGCTAAAATGCTAGCTAGTGACTTTGACAATAACTGTTCTCATAAACCCAATTTGTTCCCATTGTTTTTTATTTCCTACATAGTTAAAAGGCTATCTAGTAACTTGACACCAACCTTTGTTTATACAGTTTGTTCCCACCATTTATTATCAAACCCACTGGGAACCTTTTCTTCAAGTCATAGAAAAAATGACTTTGTCTGGAAGACTAAGTGGAAGTTTGATTGAAAAGTGAATGATGAAAGACAAAGTGTAAAAAACCTGTGTTTAAATATCTTAGTTTGAGCTAAATTTGGACCACATCACAAATATGTTAAATATGTCAGCCCAAATTTAAACTTCATCTTTGTGGCTGAAATTGCTAATGGCAGAAAAGGTAAGCATCTGAAAAAAGCCATATAATCTTTATCTGGACTCATATGTGATGTATGGTCAATTGTTTGGTCATGTACGAAAATCAGACAGAATATAGGGCCGAAAGTCCACCAAAATGAAGAAATGTTAAACTTTGTTTAAAATATAACAAAGACAGAGATACAGACATGCAGCTTTATAATGTTTATCATGTATTGTATTAATATGTATGTAATACTTGTAATTACAGCATTGCCAAAGGCTCCTGGCATTCCCATAGTGACCGAGCGAACAGCCACTAGCATTACATTGACCTGGGACTCTGGCAATCCTGAACCAGTGTCCTACTACATCATCCAGCACAAGTCTAAATACTCAGAGGACTTGTACAAGGAAATTGATGGCGTGGCCACAACTCGGTACAGCGTTGGGGGCCTCAGTCCCTACTCTGACTATGAGTTCAGGGTAATGGCCGTAAACAACATTGGACGAGGGCCATCCAGTGAGAGCATCGAAGCCAAAACAGCAGAGCAGGCACCGAGCACGGCACCAAGGCAGGTCCGAGGTCACATGATGAGTGCCACCACAGCTGTTATCCAGTGGGATGAACCAGAGGAGCCCAATGGACAGATCATGGGCTACAGGGTCTACTACACCATGGATCCCACCCAACATGTCAACCTCTGGGAGAAGCAGATTGTTCGGGGGTCTAACTTTGTTACCATCCAGGGCCTCATCCCAAATAGGACCTACTACATTAAGGTGTTGGCTTATACTTCCGTAGGTGATGGACCTCTCTCTCCAGACCTGCAAATCATTGCTAAGACCGGAGGTAAGTTTGTCTTCTCAGCAAGTTTGTTCAGTTTCTAAAAAGTTTGGCTGTGTTGCAAATATTTTAGGTTTAGACTTTTTATTTATTTATTTATTTTGTCATGGAGTATCATTAGTAAGGTATAGTTGTTAATCAGAGCTCTAAACACATAGCCATCTCCAGGCTGTTACATGTTTAAACAAAAAACTGATTTAAAAATTCATGTTTACTTTATTAAAAAAATCATTTTAATAACAATATCTTGTGTTACACCACTGCCTCCTCTGAAAATACAATATGGAAGCCGTTGCAAAACCACAAGCGCTAAGCAGTCATGTGCACGAGTGTGACTGAAATGAAAATGAACTGTGCATAATGCTGAGAATAATGAAATTATCTCTTTATTCAAATTCCAGTTCCCTCCCAGCCGACCGACTTTAAAGGGGAAGCCAAATCAGAAACAAGCATTTTACTTTCATGGAATGCTCCAGCACAGTCTGGACAGGAAAACCAAGTCATGGGATACGAACTCTTGTACAAAAAGAGGGATGAAAGGGAAGAGGTAAATATTTTTCTAAGCCGATTTTATGTGTTTACCACTGAGATTTCATGTGTATATAATTACCCTTGAAATAATTTGAATCAAACCCAATTTTACAGCACAGTGAGAACACCAACATGATTTAAAATATTTTGTTTTAAGAATTGCCTTATATCCTCCTATACCCATCTAGTTACCCAGAGTCATGAACATGGGGGAGATTTTTCTGGTGTCATGTAGTTTACGAGTTTGGCCTTTACAGACCACGGGTAGCAGCAGGTCTGATATGATTGAAAGTTCTATTTTATTACAATATAAACAATATCAAAGGAATAACGTTAAAGGGACGTCCCATCCCTAAGTGAAATTTAAGGTGGTTTTCCAGGAACACTACTCAGAGTAACTCGGACCGATGCAACTCGGCCCTACCACTGTCTTCACGGGTACGGCTCGGTATTTTCCCTCTTTCTCCCCTATTTTAAGTCTCTGCTTCGTTGAGGTACCTGGCAAGGCTGAGTCGGGCCGGCATCGTGATTCTGGCCGCTGATTGGCTAGGGGGTGGAGTCACTCGTTGCTGTAAAGTTTTTTGCTTTCTGTTTCACAGCCTGCGGCCATTTACTGGTTCAGTCTGACATAAAGCCATAAAACTGTGCAAAATATTCAGCAACACCAACATTTTTCAGCTGAGTTGTGTTTCTGTGGAGCATACAGATTACCTTGCACTGTTAACTCATCCCCTCATGTTATTTTGTCATGAGTAAAATGTTATGTCAATGTTACCAGCTACACATATTACTGTTTCTTAGATCTCTATCTTTTTAACAGAATTAGTGCATTTCTTTCTATTTGATTGGCAAGTCTTCCCCCTCCTTGTGGAAGATCTAAGTACTGCAGCACATGCGTGTCAATTATATTGTGTTATTACCGTTGTAATATTGTAAATTTACCAAATACAATGTTTTTAACTATTGCATTTTGTCTTCTAACATAAGAATAGATAAATCCTTTGGGGGGAAAAAATCTGTTATAGTTTTAGGCATTAAAATGGTCAATAGCTCTTCTTAATAATTGTGACAACACATTTAATATCTAAACACTTTTCAAAAATAGTAACCTTCTATGACATGAATTTTTATTGAAGGTGGGAAAAGTTTTCTCTTGTAAAGATATCAGTCCTAAAATGTTTTTATAGAAACCAACCAAAATCCAAATTCTTTTCGCAGAAACGAATCAGCTTTGAGCCGACAACAACGTACCTTCTGAAGGACTTGAAACCCTTCACTACTTACGCTTTTCGCCTGGCGGCACGTAGTAAACATGGAGTCGGGGCTTACACCAGCGAGATCTCTGCAGAAACACCACAGACACGTAGGTCCCTTTCTTTATCCGACCAAGCTACAGAGGAAGGACATTTTCAAATGCATCAGAATTTGTTTCGGAGCTACAACAAAGTTTTATGACAAATTTCAGAAATAACTGACCCAACTCCAATAAGGAAGATTTTCTTTTTAAGTTTGATGCATTTGAAAATTGGGTGTAAATGTTCAAACAATTGTACGGAATCTTATTTGACCATGAAGCATTCACTCTGAAAGGTTGCACTGACTGTGTAAACAGGCTTTCCTGCATCAGGAGGCAAGGTTATGAAAATTAAAACTATATTTTGATTGGAAAAATAATTGAGCTGAAATTCCCCTAAGTGATGGATCATTTATATCAAATCAGAATTTGTTTCTGTTTTCTGATGAAAAAAAGAGGGTGGATTAGCTCTTTGAAAGCCTTGCCTCTTGGTACAGCCCAAAACCAGAGAGAAAGAATTAGTTTAGAGTGAGCTTTCTATGTATCAACTATGGTTAAACAAATTATCTGAATGTTACAAGGACTTTAAAGTATTTTTTTTTCAAACAAATTTCGAATAAGTGCACCTTTTAAAATGTAATCAAAAATTTGGAGCTACACCATCATAGAAAGCTCAAAGCAAGAACCTTTTCTTGCCAGGGAATCTCAGATTTATGAAAAAGAAATCAAATGAACAATAAGAAAATTGGATTGTACCGATGAGTGCAAAAGGAATCAAATGTGGTTCCAAATTAAATAAAACCAGAGTTTGAACATTTAGCATAAATCTGAGAGATCTAACACTTAGAGGCAGAAATCAGGTGGGTATAAAATGCTCGGATGTTGTAATTCTGCCCAGATTTATGTTGTTATTATGTTTAAAAAGCATGCTTATGTCATCAGAATCTAAGAAATAAGTCATGTCTCCTTGGGAAGTTCTCTGTTGTACAATCAGGCTTTTACCACAAACCAACAGGCTACGGAAAGGTTGGTGGCAAATACAACATTTTTTTCTATTCCTAAAATAGAGAGAGCATCAACCTTTATGTTTTTGGATTGATGGTAACTGCTTGCAAAAGTTCTTACATTTCTCACATTTATGTAGAATGATTTCTGAAGACATTTGGTTTTTATTTACGATTTCTTGAATTTAAGAGAAGCTGTACCGGAATATGTAATATTTTTTCCTTTTTTTATTATTTCGTAATTTTGTCATGACAAAGGTAGGTGATATTGTGTAAAGCTGTCCATTTCCCAATCACCTCCTTCCATTCATTGTAAATGTTAGCATTTTTGTGTTTCTTTACATTTTTTGTCTCTGATCTTTGATTTTAACATGTACTTACTGTAGGTCGTCATCATTCTACATCATTTTATTTTTCCCTTTTTTTGTCTTTTGTTCATTTTCTCCATCATCATCTTGACAAAACCAAAAAACTGAATCTCCTTTGAAACCAACAAACCCAACTCAATGAATGGCCTCAACAAACAAATCAAATTCTACAAACCCAATCCACCAAGCAGAACCCGCAGGCCCACCTCAGGATGTAAATTGTTATAGCCCCAGCTCCACCAACATCCGGGTAAGTTGGCGGCCACCCCCAATGGAGTTACAAAACGGGATCATAACCCAGTACGTCATCCAATATGCTGCAACCGAAGGCGATGATACAACAGCTCGTCAAATCTCCAACATCCCACCGGAAAGCTCTGAGTACCTTTTGGAAAACTTGGAAAAATGGACAGAGTACCGTGTGACGGTCATTGCTCATACTGACGTTGGAGCAGGACCGGAGAGCCTGCCGCAGCTTGTCCGCACAGAGGAGGATGGTATGTGTTAGCTAAAAAGAACTCCAGCTGCAAATCCAACCTTTTTTTTTTCTTTAACCTTCCCCGTTCAAACACTAATAACCTTGCCTATATCTACCTCTTCTACTTCTTCTTTCTTGCCCCAACCCCCTTCTGCCTGCTTCTGAAATGAACTGCTCTATTCCGGACAAAAGTTCTATTTTTCATATTTTTAAACACAAACTGTGACTCATGCAAGCACCATTTTTTTTCTTTTTTTTTTCCTCCTGACGCTGCTCAATTTCAACACATGGTATGGCATTTTTGACCTTCAGGCCTTTAACATTCCAGTCCCGACTGTCACTTTTTACCAAAAAAAAAAAATTTTTCATTCAAAAATTTTTTTTTAATGCAACCCAAGATTTGTTTGAGACTTTTACAAAGGATTGATTTATAGACAGTGGGGATTTTTTGAAGGCCATTTTGAATATTTTTCCACTCATGTGAGAATCATTTTTATTTTTTATATATATATATATTTTTTAATTCACTTAATAGCCAAAATTCTTGTTGCACTTCAAGCATTCAAAAGTCTTGAAGTCCTATTTTTGACTCCACTTTTCTATTTTGGCTAAACACATTTTTTTTTTATCCCATGTTTTTAAAGTTCACTCTGCTCATTTTCAATGTTTCAGGATTAGGTCAGTCGTCAGACCTGTTTTTGCAGTTGTTTTTTTGTTTTTTACCCTCCTTACCATTGTTGAAATATTAATGTCATGCAGTGCTTGTTGCAGTTTGCGGCACTTTTGTGCCATTTTTTAATTTTTTCTCCTCCTTTTTGGTCACTGCGGCGTTGGGCAAGGCTTTTATAAGAGAGGTGAAGGGGTGCTCTATAATTTTGACCTTCTTTCTTTTATCCCCCATGGTGTTCCTCCAGTTCCTAGTGGGCCACCTCGTAAAGTTGAGGTGGAGGCTGTCAACTCTTCATCAATTAAAGTGATCTGGCGTTCGCCGGTGCCTACCAAGCAGCACGGTCAGATCCGAGGATACCAGGTGCACTATGTCAAGATGGTTAATGGGGAGCCCACAGGACAGCCAGTCATCAAGGACATCCTGATTGATGATGCCCAGGTACAGCACCCCACACAGCCAGTCACCTCATTCCTCAAACAAACAGTTCGGCTTTCTGTTCCTCACCTTGTCAGAATCAGACGGGTTTTGTTGCCATATGTGCAAGAATCACAACATTAGGAAATTGCTGTGGTACTTGGTGCAGCTTGTATTTTTTCTTCATCAAATAGCTTTTTTCCCCCTCAAACCTCTATGTTTTATGATCCGAACACATTTATTTGGAAAATAAAATCAGATTAGGGTGGGACAGATCGAAATGAAATTAAATGTATTGTGATCTATTTACATTTACTGCTGATTTTAATAACACATATTTACTGGGTACAATGATCGTTCTTATGTTTTATCTCTTCTCTCCCTTTACCCTGAAATAACCAGTGGGAGTATGACGATTCAACTGATCATGTGAGTATATAAACTTGAAACTCTCTATAATGATCACCTCCTAAAATATTAAGTATAGGCTCTTTATCATTTTTGATAAGTGGGAAATTAAAAATTTAAATGATTGCTTTATTATCTAATTTGATTGATTGGAGATTACATTTTAACAAAATTGTACCTTCCTTTTGGTGAACAACTGAAAGACCTTCATCACTTCTCTTACCAAAGGATGTTTTCAGTGTTTGTGATTATTACACCGTTACATACCACATATATCATGTGTTTGCCTGCAAGTGCAAATATTAGAGTTCTGTAGCTTAAGTCTTTCATCATTTCAGGAAATGATCATCCCAGAGCTTCAGGCTGAGACCACATATTCAGTAACAGTGGCAGCCTACACCACAAAAGGGGATGGTGCTCGTAGCAAGCCCAAACTCATCACCACCACTGGTGCAGGTAAAAAATTAACTTGTGTTTTATGTACTAAAAATGTATGTTTTTACTTTGCAAATTAAAGAAAATGCAAGCTGGAAAGAGCATCATGAGAGGAAAAGGCTTTATTTGGAATGTACCAATAACAATTATCTGTGAGGGTGCAAATTTTGTGTAGAGTAACAGTCTGAGAATGCTTCAGTTAGTATTTCACTGGATTGCAACTAAAAGAAGAGACACATTTGAAAGTTGCAGCCCAGTGAAATAATGGCTTTAAAAAGTGTACTTTTATCTCTCTAAAACCTTGTTCTTTTCTTCCAATATTGCCAATAGTTCCAGAGAAACCTCGTCTTATGGTCAGTACTACTAACATGGGCACAGCTCTACTCCAATGGCATCCCCCAGCAGTAACACATGGGCCCCTGCAAGGTTATCGCCTTCGCTTTGGTCGCAAAGACGTGGATCCATTGACTGTTATTGAGTTCCCAGAGCGAGAAAACCACTACACAACCAAAGAGATTCATAAGGGGGCCTCATACACTTTCCGCCTTTCAGCACGTAACAAGGTGGGCTTTGGCGAAGAGACGGTCAAAGAAGTTACCACAAACGAGGACGTTCCAAGCGGCTACCCTCAGAACATTAAAGCCGAGGGTGCCACCACCTCCACTGTTCAGGTCAGCTGGCAGCCCGTGCTGCTGGCAGAGAGAAACGGTCAAATAGTAAAATATGCTCTGCAATACAAAGACATCAACAGCCCACGCAGTCCCTCCGAGCTCTTCATCACTGCCCCAGAATCGACTGTCCTCCTGGATGGCCTTAGAGCAGACACCACTTATGATATTAAAATGTGTGCCTTCACCAGCAAGGGCTCTGGTCCCTATAGCCCAAGTGTCCAGTTCAGAACACAGCCCGTGGATCAAGGTAGGACCAGTCCCTGAACTTTCTTAGTCCTTTCCTTTATAAATACAATCTTTTCCTGTACAACCACAACAACATCCTCTGAATGCCTCAAATGGCAGACCCAACCAAAAGACTCCGGTACTAACATTGTGCCCTATCATTATTTTTTTTTATCCTACAATTTAAAAACTCACTCACATTGAGTAAGTATGTATGTCTCTTTGTGTCTTGTCAGTTAAGTAAAGGTCAGTCATTAATTTTAAAAGCTGGTGTAAGAAGGTAAGAGGACAGTTTTGAGTTCAGCATAGCACTTCATTCTGCCTGGTTTTGAAGAAGACATTTCCAGGTAAGCATTTAGTGTGGGACTGCTGGAAGACAGACAGGAAAAGGATATTTTGTCTAAATCATCTGCTCCCCCTTTCTTTTAGCAGTGTTTGCAAAAAATTTTCACGTGAAAGCTGCTATGAAGACTTCTGTATTACTGATGTGGGATATTCCAGACTCTTACAATGCTGCACAACCTTTCACTGTGAGCATTTCCTTTTGTTTACGTAGAGCCCAGTTGAATACAGAGCCAAAAATGAGTCGTGTCTGCATGAAACAACACATGATTTTCCCAACAGATCCTCTATGATAATGGGCAGAGTGTGGAGGTGGACGGCAAGTTAACACAGAAGCTTATCACGGGCCTTCAACCAGAGACTCAATACTCCTTCCTCTTGACCAACCGCGGCAACAGTGCCGGAGGTTTGCAGCATCGAGTGTCAACAATGACTGCTCCAGACGTGCTACGCACCAAGCCCTACATGGTTGGAAAGACCAACTCAGATGGAATGGTAACTGTAGAGCTACCATCAGTGCAGACGTCTGAGAGAGTATGGTAAGCATCCAGGATTAATGTCAGTACCAGTTTACAGCAGAAAACGATCCAACTCTAGACATTTAACAGTCTGTGTCTAAGTTTAGCTGTTAGATTGGGTTGCTTTCAAAATTAGGTTAAAGTCAATGCTCCAGCCTATGAAGGCAAATCTACGCAACATAGCCCCACTTGGATTTGCTGGTTGCCAGTGCACATGATCAGAATATATTTTGATTTGACATAAAAAAAAATCTTATCTGCAGAAAATTTGATTTGTTAGGAAATGACAACAGTAACAGGGGCCTGCCACTGTCATATCTACAGCCTAATGATAACTATTTTATACTGATGCTCTATGAATGAAAATACACAACTTAACTTGGTAGTCGACCTTGCCAGGGGTATTTTCTTCTAAAACAGCCATTTATATGCATCCCTGCATTCAGTGTAATAGTCACTTCACCTCAGTTGTTGCACACTGAAACAGACCGACTCTTTTAAAGACTCTCCTCTACCCTATATAAAGACTCTGACAACCCTTTAGCAAAGCTCATGGTTGTCAGAAGGCTAAAGGACACATCTGATAGCATAATAAAGCTTTAAACATAGTTTCTGATGTCGTTGAGTGTAATAGCCCAGACGTGGGCAATTCTGATCCTTGGGTACCACTAGCCTGTATGTTTTAGATGTTTCCTTGCTCCAACACACCTCATCAAATGGCCTTGCCTCTTCAGTAGCCTTTTTTATAAGAAAGACCATGCCAGCAAATCTGCGTAATATTACCGCAATGGTATGTCTATGAACGTGCCATGCCGGCATGGCGTGCAAATTTTGCGGCATTCGTTCCGCCTCGCTTGGTAGTAATATTGCGGTAGTGGTCTGTCGTATGCGTCCTGGCGCAACAGAGGCAGATGTCATGATGACATGGGGAGTTATTGCTGAGCTCCGGCTGGCAAATTTATTGAAAATGAAAGTAAACACAGGCAATAAGGTTTGCTTTTTGAACAATATCAGCTGAGATGGCAAACTAGAGCGCCGCAGCGCTCCATGAGCCTCTCTGTTAGAGCTGAAGCTCAGATCACCAGAGACTGCACAGGGACTGATAGGGACAGACACCTTTAGGAGCTGCTTGTTAAAAAATAAACGTAACGATCACAGCTTCAATTGCAATAAAAAACATGTTTCGTCCAAGATAAACCGAAGTCTGCGGCAGCGCAGAGACCGCCCCCATACCCCCTTTATGCCACCATCACCTAATCTTTTATCAAATTGCCACGATTGCACCACATTACAGGTGCTGGCCAGTAAATTAGAATATCATCAAAAGGTTGAAAATATTTCAGTAATTCCATTCAAAACGTGAAACTTGTACATTATATTCATGCAATGCACACAGACCAATGTATTTCCAATGTTCATTACATTTAAATTTGACATTCATAAGTGACAACTAATGAAAACTCCAAATTTGGTATCTCAAAAAATTAGAATATTCTGAAAAGGCTGAATATAGAAGACACCTGCTGCCACTCTAATCAGCTGATTTACTCAAAACACCTGCAAAGGCCTTTAAAAGGTCCCTCAGTCTTGTTTTGAAGGCACCACAATCATGGGGAAGACTTCTGACTTAACAGCTGTCCAAAAGACAATCATTGACACCTTGCACAAGGAGGGCAAGACACAAAAGGTGATTGCTAAAGAAGCTGGCTGTTCGCAGAGCTCTGTGTCCAAGCACATTAACAGACAGGCGAAGGGACGGAAAAAATGTGGTAGAAAAAAGTGTACAAGCTCTAGGGATAACCGCACCCTGCAGAGAATTGTGACGACAAACCCATTCAAAAATGTGGGGGAGATCCACAAAGAGTGGACTGCAGCTGGAGTCAGCGCTTCAAGAACCACCACGAGGAGACTCATGAAAGACATGGGATTCAGGTGTCGCATTCCGTGTGTCAAGCCACTCTTGAACAAGAAACAGCGCAAGAAGCGTCTCGCCTGGGCCAAGGACAAAAAGGACTGGACTGATGCTGAGTGGTCCAAAGTTATGTTTTCTGATGAAAGCAAGTTCTGCATTTCCTTTGGAAATCAAGGACCCAGAGTCTGGAGGAAGAGCGGAGAAGCACAGAATCCACGTTGCATGAGGTCCAGTGTAAAGTTTCCACCGTCAGTGATGGTGTGGGGTGCCATGTCATCTGCCGGTGTTGGCCCACTCTGTTTCCTGAGGTCCAGGGTCAATGCAGCCGTCTACCAGGAAGTTTTAGAGCACTTCATGCTTCCTGCTGCTGACCAACTTTATGGGGATGCAGACTTCACCTTTCAACAGGACTTGGCACCTGCACACAGTGCCAAAACCACCAGCACCTGGTTCAAGGACCATGGTATCCCTGTCCTTGATTGGCCAGCAAACTCGCCTGACCTTAACCCCATAGAAAATCTATGGGGTATTGTGAAGCGGAGGATGCAATACGCTAGACCCAACAATGCAGAGGAGCTGAAGACGACTATCAGAGCAACCTGGGCTCTCATAACACCTGAGCAGTGCCACAGACTGATCGAGTCCATGCCACGCCGCATTACTGCAGTTATTGAGGCAAAAGGAGCCCCGACTAAGTATTGAGTGCTATACATGCACATTCTTTTCATGTTCATTCTTTTCAGTTGGCCAACATTAGAGAAACAAACATTTTTTCATTGGCCTTTAGAATATTCTAATTTTCTGAGATACCAGATTTGATGTTTTCATTGGTTGTCACCTATAAATATCAAATTTAAATGTAATGAACATTGGAAATACATTGGTCTGTGTGCATTGCATGAATATAATGTACAAGTTTCACGTTTTGAATGGAATTACTGAAATATTTTCAACCTTTTGATGATATTCTAATTTACTGGCCAGCACCTGTACCTTATAAACAACCTTTATCCTTCCCAGGGAGCCGCGGCAAATCCCGTTTTGCAAACGCTATGGTCCTGTAAAAACAGCTAGTTTGTTATTAACTCCTGCAAAAGTCTGGTGATAATGTATTCATTTAGGTTTTTTGAATAAAAATAAATAAATCATTCAGGACATTGGCCCTTGACGAATGGAACTGCCCACCTTTGTGCTACCAGAGCCAAAACCAATCAACAGGGTAGAAATTTACCCCAGAAATGGCCCTGGTAGGGAAGTAATTGATAAGTAGAAGAAGAAGTTTACAGCACTTTTCAAAGACACAAGTCACAAAGGGCTTCTCAGACAAAAACAAACATACAGTGAAAGACAGAATTACAGTAAATCAATAAATAAAACAGCATTACAGTAAACTGTCAATTTTCAATGAAAGTGAGACTAGTGGTGAGGAGGGATTAAGGAAAAGACAGCCAAAATTAAACCTAGGAAATTTAAGGTGAGTTTTCACCAGTTTGGGGATGGCGTAGGTAGCCAGAGGGGGGCAAAACAGAATTAGTATAGACTAAACAGCAGAACTTGTATCATGAAACATTGAGTAGAGAACTAAACGTAGCCAGCCAGGAATTACTAAGTAAGTGAAATCATTAGACTTCTCAGATGCCGAGAGGTACAGTGTCCGCATTTGGAGATTGGGGTTCAAATCCCGGTCAGGTCATACCAAAGACTTTAAAAAGGGGGTCCAATGCCTCCCTGCTTGACACTCAGCTTCAAGGGGTTGGGGGGTTTAAACCACCAAACAGTTCCAGAGCGCAGCTGCAGCTCACCTTTCACTGTGGGGCGCTACTGCTGAGCTCCAGCAGGAAACAATATTGAAATTGAAAGTAAACCTGGGCCATAAGTTTTGCTTTTGTAAACAGAACCAGCTGAGATGATAAACCGAAGTGATGCAGAGCTCCAGGAGCTTCTCACCATTAGAGCTGGAGATCAGATCACCAGAGACTGCACAGGGACTGTGGAGGACAGACACCTTTTAGGGGCAGCTTGTTAAAAAAAAAACTCAATGAGTGTGGCTTCCATCACAATAAAAAGGAAGTTATGTTCAAGTTAAACTGAAGCACAGCCATGCAGAGAACGTTCCATACCTTCTTTATACCGCCATTGCATAATTTTTTGTAATAAGGACATGATTGCACCACATTACCACCACAGACTGACCACTTACTGTATAAACAACATAAGGCTCCCTGATTCCGGCTTGGCGTTGCAGCAAATTGGCAGCATTGTTTTCTAAAAGAGGCTAAAATGTGGTCAGCCAAGAATTACTAAGCCAGTGAAAACATTGATTAGGCTAAAGGTGGAATGTGACTAGAACTAATGCAGTAAATAATTACCTTGTGTAGCGCATTTCTGAGTCCAGGGAGTCCAAATCACTTTATTCTAGTCAGTCATTCATCCATTCACATACACTAGGTCCAGCCACCCTACGGTGCACTGACAGAGGTATGGTAAAATAGCACTTTTGAAAGTAGCTGGAGCTTTTAGGAAGGCTGAGGAGCACTCAATACTTTTGATTGAGTTAAGTTGGGTACCTATATTGAGTCTGAAAGTGTTTTTTGTTTTGTTTTTTTTGTTTCAGTTTTTAAGTTTAATAGGTGCATGAATAACAAGTTAGTAATACATCGGTATATTCATGCCAAATCAGCCACCAGCTTCTTAGTCCAAGACTTCGTACCAGGATCAGCTACTGAAAACACTTAGTTGGTTATTTCCCCAGCTTTTCTTTATATATATATATATATATATATATATATATATATATATATATATATATATATATATAATATATTTAATGTTTTTTAAATATTTTTTTATCCTCCAGGGGGTATTACGTCGTGGTTGTACCACTGAAGAAGCAGCGCACTGGGAAATTTTTCAAACCATGGGACAGTCCTGATGAGATGAACTTGGATGAGGTAAATCCCAAAAGAGTATCCTGTTATACTGACTCACGTTGCCGAGAAAGATCAGTAAAAAAGTGTAAAAGACAGCTCAAGTCATTCTTGTGTTATTGCTACTCAGTTTGTAACTCAACCCTACATACCTATGAGCACATGCCACATATTGATTTTCTGAAAAAAACTAGAGTAAACAAGTTGAGGCCGGTAAGAGGACAAGAGAGACAGGAGATAAGTCTTTTTGATTGATGCAAATAGCTCCAGAGAGCACTGTTCATATGGAAATGAGAACATAAAGTAGCCATCAATCCCATTGCAAACTCAACCCCATCACTACCACCACCTCCTCGTTGTGTCTGCAATAATTACCTGAAGAGCTGCATTGGGCCTTCGTGGCTCTTCTCATTCCAGGCAAACCTCGGCTACCACATGCGTATAAAACACTTGAAAACTTTTATATTTAGCCAGTAGATTATTCTAGAGCTTTGATGCATCTCATGGAAATTAAAGCTTTTACCACAACACACTTTAGGCTGTTTTATGTTATCCTTTCAATAAAGTATTATGTACATGCACTACTTTACTTAATATTGAGTATACAGAATAAAAGGTTATAGTATAAAAAAGTTAGGCCCATTTCAGTTTGAGAGTTTTACATAACAAGATGCAATAAAATAATCTGAATGTTCAAATCTAACCTCCAGTACAAAAACACATGACCGATCCCACCATGTTATCATTAAACAGAAGAGTTGCATTTGAAAAATTTAAACTTATTGCTTTCAAAGGGATTTTTTGGGCAGTTTATTTTTCCAGGACATACATGCATGTGTTAACATGTTGTTTGGGAGGAGCAACGGCAGGAATTGTTGCTTCCCATCAACATGGGAAGGGTTAAAGCTGCTATAGCCAATCTACAAAACCAGCTATGTTTTGAACACAAACATGATCACGAAACACTCACCCCTCCCCTCGGGTATCTTCATTGAGATGCTTCTGCCGAAACCAGAAATTCACATTGCCAGAGGAAATGAGAGAGCGCTAAACAACGGTCACTGTTTTCTAGGTCTTTTGTTGTCCTTGACTTCAAATAGTGTTTTTCTTTTTGGAACTCTGGTAGTTTGTCCTAAAGTTTAATTTGCTGCAGTGGGCTGTTTCGCCTTCCTTGATGTTATTGCTGCAAACCTCTCTCACCAGTGGTGTTCTGTAGCTAAATACGCGAGAGTGTTATGAATGCAGGACCCAGACAAGTGCGGTGGTTTGGCGTGACCAGATGATTTATGGTCGCTATGTGTTATTGGTAGATGTTTTAGACAAATGCAACATACACACTTTATTTTAAAAAAGGGTGGCACAAGAGTTAAGTGCTCACCCCGTTATCAGAAGGTTGCAGGTTTGAGCCTCACACAGTCTGTCGCTGTTGTTGTGTCCTGGGGCAAGACACTTAACCCACCTTGCCTATTGCTGATGTTCAGAGGGACCGGTAGCTCTTGTGTTTGGCAGCCTCACCTCCGTTAGTGTGCCCCAGGGCAGCTGTGGCTACATTGTAGCTCATCACCACCAGGGTGTGAATGTGTGTGTGAAGGGATGAATGACTGATTGTGTTGTTAAGTGCCTTGGTGGGTTTCAGGACTCTAGTAGGCGCTATATCAAATACAGGCCACTTTACCATATTATTATCTCCAATATATTCATAGCTAAACTATATTAGAATGTTGTTAAGAGACATGACAAATATGTTTTAAGCTAATTTGTTTTCCAGATTTGCCATTGCAGCTTTAAAGGTCATTATCAAACAATTTGGAGTCCTAAATCCTACAGCGAGAAAATATATTTACAAGTGGAAAACATTTAAGAGCATATTCCTTTGCATGCTCACTTCAAGGTCAGAAAAAGGGAGCTTTATCTCACACATTATCAGCCAAAGACTGCAGCTTAAAAGTTGAATTTCATGATTGTAAAATGAGAAAAAGACTGAACAAAAACAGGCTTCTTCTGAAGGTTTAATGGTAAAATAAACTTTATCTTGAAGAAAGACAGCAGCATTACTCGGGTTCCTAAAATAGCGTTTAAATGATCTGAGGATTTTGTGAACAATTTTCTTTGGGTCAATGAGATCCATAATGTTTGGATAAAACCACATTGCACAACAGGACAAGCAGCTAAAACTCAATGTCAGCACGGTGGTAGAGGGCTGATCATAGTGTCTTATGATATGGGCAAATAGTTTTCTCTGGAATAAGGGTTGGTTGGTTTGTTGGTTGATTTGGGCACCTTGCATTCATTGAAGTTTTCTAGAGTCAATATTGAATCTATCCATCTGACATCTGAAGCTATGACCAAACTGGTAATGAAACAAGACAATAAACTCAACAATTAAATACTTAATTTCATGACCGAAAGGACAGCAATCAAGGTGGTGTAAAGGTCTAGTCCAACATCTACCTGATTGAAATACTCTGGTTGGACTTTTAAAGAGCTGACCAAAATAAGGTAAAAAAAAATAAAAATAAAATAAAAACCCTTCCTCTCAAGGATGCTAAAAGTGATCCAACAGGATGTTGGTGTATTGAATGGACTTGGTGAAATCTGTTTTTTTATGCTTAAAGTTAGACGTACGTGTTTCCAACCTGACAAAGAATACATTTATTTTATTTTGTCAAGAAATGGAAAACTCCCAAACTGAACTCAACTTCCTTTTTAGCAAAAACAGCCAACAATTCCCATGGAATGAATCTAACTCTACATCACATGACTAGAAGAATAAAAGATAACACACAGCGTCTCATCTGACAACGCCTTTGCAGTCCTGCCTACAGGCCCTTGTCTGCAGCCTTGACCAATTGCCCAAAAGTCACCCCTCTGTCAGAATTTATTTGTTTGTCAATATTGGCACTCACCTTTTCACAACTTTTCCCAAGGGCGGCTAGATTTAGTTGTGTTGACAGGAGAGATGATTGAAGACATTATCGGGCAGCACCAACAGCCCCGCAGCCAAAACAAAGCACACACAGGACCGCACACACAATATATATGATGTGAATGACACACACGCACACACAGATTTCCAGTTGCACGAGTCAGATATATACATTCAGATGCAGACTGGGTTTGCGTAATTATCATCAATATTCTTTGTTCTTGACATTTAAACTCTATTGATACTTGACTAAATGAAATCGTAGATTTTCTTGTTGTTTGAAGTCTCTGATAGTAAAATGGCCTGTATTTATAGAACACCTGTTAGAGTCCTAAAATCCCCCCAAGGCACTTTACAAGACAACGGTCATTTATCCTTGCATGCACACATTTACAGTAAAAGGGTTGAAATGATTTTGGATGAGCAAAGTCAGACAAAGATAATCTGAGAAAATATAAAGTGTGGTTTTCCCATGATGATTTCATTAATGAAGGGAATAACAATTTCTAAACCAACCTGTCCTTGTGTAGAAAGGGAACTCTCTTTAATTACGTAACTGGTTGTAAGACATTGAAGTAACAGCTACAGTCAGTTGTTTGAGATTACAGGTAATGAGTCTCTTACACTACTGTGAAGAAATATTAGCCCACCCTTCTTTACAGAATAGTTTTCATTCAGCCAAATTGAGGGTTTTCCAGCATAAAGGATCTGTTTAAAGGAGAAATATGTAAGAATTCTACAGTGAAATAATCACAAAAAAGTCTAATGTCTCAATCATGTTGAAAGGAAGGTGACATTGAAACAGATGCCGTTCCTAGACAGATGGGGGTTGCCAGTTATTCTCCTTAAAAAAAAGATGGACGTAGTTACTGTTTACAGTCAGTGAGTTTGGGAGGTTGCCATGTCTCCGCCAACCTAATACTGCTGCGCTAGCATTTGTAATTCAACAGCATAAAGCAAAAAGCTCCAGAGTTGTTTAAAGAACCAAAGCCAGTAAACAGGATTGACCCAGAAGTTCTTTTTTGTACCCCTGAGAAGCCACAGCATCTTTTTGTTTTACTCTAATATCAGGTGAAGCAGGCTAGAGGCTAACAATGCTAACGGTTAGAAATAAATAGTCAGCTCGAAAAATTTCTGAAGCTACTTTTTCAATTACCAACAACTCGACATTACAGTGAAATGTGTGTGTGAAGTGACTCAATTGTGGCATTTTACTTTCAATCATTGAATCCTTCAGAACTTTAACATCAAGCTAAAAGCATAATGGCTAACAACCACACTTCCTGTAATGCCAGAGGAATATTACTGTAATAAGTGTAGTTAGTGATCTCTATGTAAAACACCAAAGAGTGCTAACACCAGATATAATAATTTATTGTCTATTAACTTACTGTGTATGACTCGTCACTTGTCATCTAAAAATTTCTAGTGCAACACATAACTGGCAACAGCCACGAAACTCATGGAACGGCAGTGAGATAGTGATAGTAGTTACCAAATTTGACCACATGATGTCATTCTTACATACTGCACATTTAAAGTGAAAGGTCAGACATTCTCCTTCAGGGTTTTTGCTAGTGAGAAAAATTTATGATTTCATCAATTACAGCAAGTGGCCAGCACCGTGCTTGACGATGTTCTTTTTTGGAAATGCAGTGTTAGTTTAACATCAGATGTAACCAGAGGCACACTTTTAAGAAAGTTCCTCATTTTTCTTGTCTACATAATATTTTCCAAAAGTCTTGGAGATCATCGAGATTATTTAGATACATTTTTGCTCTTGTTGGTCTTGGAAAGCCCCTTGAGGTCAATTTTGCATCTAATTTTTATTGAATCAGGACATCTAACCTTAACTTTAACCTAGGACTGCAGTGATGCTTTTCATATCTGGCTGCATGGTGGCGCAGGGGTTAGCACTGTTGCCTCGCAGCACGAAGGTCGCAGGCTTGAAACTCGGCTGCGGCCTTTCTGCATGGAGTTCTCCCCATGCATGCGTGGGTTTCCTCCGGGTACTCCGGTTTCCCCCACAGATCACAACATGCCCTATAGGTTATAAATTGTAAGTGGCTTTGGATAAAAGCGTCTGCTAAATAAGTAAACATAAACATATCATTTAGCCTGCTTCACATGTCAAATTCAGGATGTAAGAGCCAGGATGGGTTGGATGACATTTTTCTCCAATAGTTTGAAAACTGTATTTTGTATTTTCTCAAGTTATCTGCCTGGTGTTAAAATTAATTTACTGATCTGAAAACTTTAGGTGTGTCAGCAAAAGCATTAGAAACCTGTCACGACAACATTTTCACAACACTGTCCTTGTTGGCAATATTTCAAACTTTTCTTCACTTTATGTATGCTGGATTCATGTTCAGAGGGAAATAAATTACACTACACTTATCAAACACTGCTAAATTCTCCCCAGACTCTATTTGTCGATCTGTTTAGGCAGAAAAGCTTTTGATAGTATCAAAAGAACAAAATTCAGTTTTTTCTTACCATTTGAAGTTGTTAGATAATCCTCAACTGCTTCATATGCAGGAAATCCACACAATCTTTTAATCTAAGATCGTGTGCAGTTTAAAATACAGATGAAGTAAATCATTGATCTTTCCTCTAATGTCCCCCCCCCCCTCTTTTTTTTAGCAATCAGCGTTTTTCAGCTCAGCAGTCAAATGAGATAGGCACATTCAGTGAGTGTGGACTTGTATTTCATGTGGAACCTTATCAACTGTCTTTCCTCTTCTACTGTAGCTGCTGAAGGAGATAAACCAAACTAGCCGAGGCCTTCGTTTCCAGAGGCACGCGGAACCCAAAGCCTATATCGCTGCCTACTTCAAAGACCTGCCCAAGGAGTTCACCCTGGGAGATGGCAAGATCTACGGAGACTTTGAAAACAAGCAACTCCAGAATGGCCAGGAATACATCTTCTTTGTGCTTGCTGTGCTGGAGATGTCTGAAAATGCAAGTGTGGTGCTTTTCATGTCTATTTTTCTACTTGACTTCATCTAGACACTAGTTTGTTTCACTGGGGAAAAAAATTCCTTACTGGTTTATTTCATGTTCTTTGTTCTATAAACTGTTCAAAGGCGGTTAAATCCACTCCATCTCGGCCAAAGGTCAAAGTTTCCCTCTGGTCAGATGTGGGACTCTGAGCACTCGTGAGGCTTTGGCTTGAAATCTTAAAGCAGCAGCAGGCCGAAGCAGCTGACCCTTTCCGCTTTAGGGCAAAAAACCCCTTAAGACCTGAGCTGATCGCAAGAACACCTCGATAACAGAGCTCCTCTTTAATTGCATCCTACGTGTGGTCCACCTTATCTCCGCTGCAGCAGCTAGTGTGTGTTTGTGTGCCTGCGTGTGTGTACGGAAGACCAGAAAGCAGCATGATTAGGCAGCTGCAGGCGAGATGATGGATTTGATGAGCTCCTGGGTTTATAGTGCCGCCTCACTCTCTTCACTAACCCTGAGTTCAGGTAGAGCAAAAAAACGATAATGATGGACAGAGGCAAATCTCTAATTTGCCCACTGAGGCATACATTTTCTTCCCCGAAGACCTTTTTTTTATCTTTACTTAGAATATAAAATAGTTCAATCAGCTTTGTCCTGTATAGGAGAGATAGGGAGATAATTGTGATTGGTCCATCTGCAGCATAGGGGAAAATTTGGACAGGAAAACTTTGAATTAGCTTTCAGTTTGTGTTCATGCCAGCTTTGTTTTATGTTGCCTTTTTGCTGGTATTTTCACTGAAACTGTGTTTTAATCAGTTTTACACACCAAATTAGTCAAGAATGATCACTATAGTGTACTCTGTTATGTAATTCTCCTTTCTAATGATGTTCTGCTGTTTTTTTTAATGTCCCTAAATGCTGTAGTCAAATCAAACTGAACAACTTTAGGTTTTGTAGATTTTTTCAAGATTAAGGGGTAAAGGGCAAACAGCCCTTTTTTTCTAAGTGCTGCATTTCAGGTTATCCAAACTAATCCAGAAACCATCTTTCCTTAAAAGAGAGCATATTAGCCTTTCAGATCAGAGTTTTGCGTTATGAGTGTCTTGTGGTGGGGAGATTTAAAAAATTTGTTTTGTCAAATTTTGTTAAAATTGCAAAATCTTGCAGGATTTATTTGCACTTTGAGTGAGCCAGTTGTTACTTTCTAAGAGTTCCCTTAAAATCCAATGTATACGTAGAATTGTTATTGCTAATTTAATGTAGCACTTTGGCATTGATGCGTTTACTGACCATCAAAATGTCTTTTTTGAGTCTTGGCAATTCTGTAAAATTTCAAACTCCTACTTTTTGTTTCAGATTAGCAAGTTGCTGAAAAAAACGACCATGCTGATTATTGGCCAATTCCAATCAACAACTGAAGTTTTGGTAAACAACCAGGGCAGCAGTAGAGGTTCAGGAATAAATAGTTGTGTCATCAGCATAAAGTTGTAAGATGCAACGTTCCAGCTCATTGCCAATGTAAAGTTAAAATAAAAAGCATGGATCCTTAAACAGAGCCTTGAGGCACACCTATTCCTGTTTTGAAATAACTAGAACCGAACCTATTGAGTTTCACACGTTACTGACAAGATGAGAAAATCTAGCAAATGTTGTGTCAAACAATTAGTGTAAGGTGCTACATTGCAGTGTCAATGACATGGCTGCTTATCAGATCTTTTCCTCCCCTAAATTTCAAATTATAGTCTTACTAAATGATAAGGACAGGGTGATGGACATTGAAGGAAACTAATAGTAATGTCTAGTTTGGGTTGATGTTAACAAGTTATTTTCTGCTCTCCTCACTCAGATCATGTATGCCACCAGCCCTTACTCCGACCCAGTTATCTCAGCAGACATTGATCCGCAGCCAATCATTGATGAGGAGGAAGGTCTCATCTGGGTGGTGGGCCCTGTGCTGGCAGTTGTCTTCATCATATGCATTGTCATTGCCATCCTTCTTTATAAGAGGTGAGGAAATGAAATGATCACCAGCATTGAAGAAAGTTACAGGAAAGTTGCAGAAATGTACTTTAACTATGTTGAAAGAGGAAAAAGGACGGTGTGAGACATGCACTGCAACCACACGATTACTTATATATGAGCATTTGAAATTCATGCCATGTGTAGCCAGTCGACATTCATTAAATATTTACCTTTCAGTAAACTGACACACTAGAGTGGACACATTTGCACGTTCAGATGCTGACTTAGAAAATGAGATTTTAACTTAAAGCCCGGGGCACATTGATCCTCACACTATAACCGCGACCTTCATTCTCACTAACACACATTAAATCTTACATGAGTAATTCTAAACATGAAGCTACCCAAGCTGTCAAGTCATCATGTGCAGGCGGACACAATGCTTCAGAGAAAAAAGAGAAAAAGAAGACGACTTGTCTGCTGACTGAAAGTTAATCAGACACAGCCCTTCCCTTCAGCTCACTCACAAACTTGCCTGACAGTGGAGCAAACACTTGCTGTAATGCATTTTCCCACTGAATCAAAACAGCTTCTGTCCTTTTTTTTTTTTTTTTTTTACTCTTCAAACTGAAACCCCCCAGTGGTAGTCAGAGCCTGCAATGTCACCGCTCATCAGTCAAGCGTAGGAGGGAAGAGCTTTGCCTATCTGCTGCTTGTCACTGCATGTGTGTGAAGCTTCAGAAAGACCCCGGGGTCTGGGCTCACTTCCCAGCCATCATAACCCCTCCTCATTTCACCACTACCCACAATCCATAGGGAAAACTCGGCTCCACATTCCCATTTTGACCTTATGATACTTTATTTTTGTTTTTGTTTTTGCCAGGGCGCGTATAGCTTACAAACATGCCTCCTTCATGGCCATCTTTTCTCACCAGTACAGATATATGGCTCTGTGCATTAAATCAAATGTTTGGGCCTGTGCAGAAATTCATTATGGTCTTCTAAGTGTGATTTTTGTGTAATTTGAACGTTTTAGAACAGCAAACAAAATTCATTATCTGTCAAAAATGTAACAAATATAAACAAGGCAATGCTTTTAAATGAGTATTTAATTACTAAAGGGAAAAAAGATTTGGCAAAGCAACATAGTTGTATGTGGAAATAGGAACTTCCTCCAGGTTAAATCAAGCTTAGCCACATTTACACTAGCACACCAGACGTGATTACTATCAGACTTGGAGAATTAACTCATTAACTGCCAGCCGTGTCCTGATCAGAAAAGCCCTTCGCTGCCAGCATTTTTCAGCATTTTTACTGTTTTTTAAGAGTCACAGAACGTTGCGCGCTAGGATGATGTCAAAGCCAAAACCACCAAAAAAGAGTAGACTCACCTCTTACATCAGGAAGAATACGCGCGTTTCGAGCGTTATCCGTTTTTCATAATCCGTTGTTGAATTGTGATCGGCAGAAGCTTTTCTGGTTCACGCCTCACTTTCTTTACAGCTGCGGCTCAAAACGATCTCCAAACACATGGATTTTCTGCTTCCTGATCACGTGACGTATGCGGATGACGATCGGCTTCAGAGCTGGCACGTTTGTTCTCACAGTGCGGGGACTCGTTCCGACACCCACACAGTAAAAAAAATGCAAATGATTATTTTAGTCATCATTGGCAGTGAACGGTTGGGTTTAAAATGACGACTTTTGTCGTCAATGGCAGTGAATGAGTTAAGAAGTCACTTCAATAGAACATGTCTGACAACATGAAGTAGAGAGAAGATTCAAGGGTATTGGACCCAATGATTCAACCAACACAAACAAAGAAGCAAATAATACAAGTTTTAATTATCAGGAAAACAAGAGTGTTAACAGAAGGGTTTATGTGGCTTGACTTGGCTTGATTAAACCATCAAACTTGACATGAGTTGACTTGTTTAGTATGACTTGACTGGAAGAAGCTGCATCGTGAGGATGATCTGGCATCAGAGCTGTGACTCCAAGGAGCTTATGGTTCCCAAACTTACCCTGGAGGACCCTCATGTCCATATCTTACACAAGCCAGGACCCCCAAACCCAACTCCTACACACACATCAAATGTGGTGATTTAGAAACTTTGTACAGACACACATTTATAACTTTTAAATAGAGTTCTGATTATACTAGGTGTGTTTTCTGTATTTTATAAATGTAATTTTTACAAATAAAATATTCAACTTCCTCATAACAAAATTCAGGTGGAAACAGTCCAGTACTGGGTTACCACAGTTAAGTGGCTAACCCAGGCTTTCTTCTGCATGCATAATTGGCGGATAACGCATTCAATGCATTTTCCCCGCAACCTCAGTGGCGCATCCAGTGCTGCTGGAAGAGTGAGATACACGAATCAGCAGAGAATGTGTTCCACACGGCTGATCCCATGAGGTCACTAAATTAATGTAAAATTTCAAGATCTCGTGATTTTGCCAGGTCACACGATAACAAGCATACAAAAGGTCTGTGGTTTTCTGTTTTTCTTACCTCGACCACAGATGTCACAGGCAATGACATATTTATTTTATTTTGGTTGTTACACAACAAGAAATCTGCATGTTTCCTTTATTTTGGAGGTTGCCAGATGCTTAAACCTACTCCCATGTTCGAATTCCTGTTCTGCCTGATCTGAACTGCTGAGCTTCTGGAAGCAAAGCCAGTAAAAAATTGACTTGAAAGCGTAAAATTAGCAGAGTTTTGTGACACTATGGTAAATGGCCAGTATTTGTGTAGCACCTTCTTAGAATTTTATAACACCCCCCCCCCCCCCCCCCCCCCCCCAAGGCGCTTCAGAAAACAGTCAGTCGTCCATTCACACACTGGTGATGATTAATGTAGCCACAGCTGCCCTGGGACACACTGAAGAAGGTGCTGCCAGTACCTTTTAACCACCACTGGCAGGCAAGATGGGTCTGTAAAAAATCTCAAACAGCATCACATCATGCCCATTCTAAATAGTTCTAAATGAAAAGAACCCAACAATAACATCTAAAGCATCTTAGACCTCAGTTGGTCAACGTCAGAGGGCTCGGCTGAACACATCTGAACATGATGTTTTTCATTTCAACAGTCAAACATCAAATCTGTAAGGGTGAAAACCTTTTTCATAGCACATACACATTGATTATCTAGCCGCTGTAACCGCTGCACTAGAAAACATTCTAACCTGGAGATATTTTTCTTCTAAATCAATATTTATGTGATAGATTGCACCCTTTGTGCTGGACTAAATGAAACCAACATCAGTGATTCAGCCTGCCCGAGAGAAACATAAATTAAAGTAAAATGTAGGTCATGTAAGTAAGTAAATTTTATTTATATAGCCCTTATCACAGACATAGAATCACAGAGTGCTTCACATAGATCAAAATAAAATAAAACAAAGTCATAAAACAAAGTCATAAAATCATAAATAGATTAACATCATAAAATCAAAATGCTTTCAAAACAGAATTTGATTTACATCAGGAAAATAAAGTCATAAAATTATAAATTTTCATAAATAGATTAAAGATTAAAAATATGAGTTAAAAATAAGAAAATAAAAGGTTTAGGTAAAAGCAGCTTTAAGTAAAAGGGTCTTTAGCTGTTTTTTAAGTGTCCAGACTGTCAATGCTACGTAAGGACACAGGAAGATCATTCCAGAGTCGGGGTGCAACAGTCTGGAAGGAGCGATCACTTCGACTTTTGTATCTGGTCATTGGAACTTCTAGAAGGTTCTGGTGTGTGGACCTGAAGGCTCGGGTTGGAGCATAAGGCTTTAACAGTTCAGTAATACAGGGAGGAGCTTGACCATGTAGAGCACTGAAAGTTATAATCAGGATTCTGAAATGAACTCTAAAGTTAACGGGTAACCAAGATCTAGGGTGTGGCCCATTTTGTGTGTGGGGCCACAAACGTGCTGCTCTAAGTTAAAAGACTCCATAATATACATGAACTCCACTGCTGTGCTACAATTAGGATCATTAATGTGTAAGTTAAAATCACCGAGGATTAAAACTTTCTCTAGTTTGATCATTGATGATAGAAATTCTCCAAATTCAGAGAGAAAAGGGCCAGCTGGACCGGGAGATCGGTAGATCAAAATACAGTGAAATACATTTTTTAACCCTGCTTTGATGACCTGTTAAAGGGCAATTTTTCTCCAGATTACAGACATGTTTGTCCTTAAAGACCACAGCAAGACCTCCACCACGACGTGTCGGGCGTGGTGTGGTAAACACAGAGCAGTTTGGTGGACATATTTCATTGAAATGTACAAAATAGCCATCTTGCTGCCACGTCTCCGTAAGAAATAAATAGTCCAACTTTTCTCTGGTGAACAGCTCATTTAAAATAAAGGATTTGTTTGAGATGGAGCAGGCATTTAACAGGGCACTGAATCCTGGAGAACATTTGTCTTCTTAACCTGTTGGAGAGGGATGGGTCGTAAACATCTGGTGTTCTGGGTTCTCCGGCCATGAATACAGTTGATGTCTTTGCTGGTTGGTAAATGAACTGGAATAGGGAATCTTTTGGGTTTGTCAGCAGAAGACAACATTTTTGGAATTGTGTCCTTTGGAAGACACACAGAAGACTGTTGCTTCATGGGAGGACTGTAGGAAGTGATGTCATTTGAAGTGGAGGTTTGAGCAAAGGCCGAAGAAGGTGGAGATCTCTGGGATGTAAACTGTCACGTCTGTGGAAGGGAATCCACCACATATGTATATCTATGGGACTGCACAGCACACTGGATGTTAGCTGTTAGCATGCTTGAGCCATGTCGGTTAGGGTGAATACTATCTCGCCTGAAAAAGGAGAAACAGTTCCAAAACAGGTCAAAATTACCAATGAAACCAAAACTGTGGGACCTGCAAGCAGACTGAAGCCAGGAGTGGAGAGAGAGCAAACAGCTAAAACATCCATGTCCATGAGAAACTGTGGGGATCGGGCCAGAGATTAAAACAGACATTCCACTGCTCTTCAGCATGTGAAAGAGATGGTTAAAATGCTGTTAAGTGATGACAGAGTCCCGGCATTTAACATCGTTTGATCCCACATGAATGATCACTCTTTTAACTGAAGCTGGGATGGAGTACAGCAGACCAGGAAGTTTATCCAGGAGAGCAGGTATGATAGCTGATGGAAAACATCTCGTCATGACGTTAAAAAAGCGGACATTCCTGATTATTAAATCCCCTACTAGCAAAGTGGTAGGTGAAAACAGTGGACGGGGTGTAGAGGGCTGCTGATTTGTGTTCCCGTGGAGTAGTGGAGGATTCTGGGTTTGGGTTCCTGTGGTGTCAGGGATCTGGAGGGTTTGAGGTGGAGGGTTTGCCATGGAGGAGCTCACCTCCTGAGCCAGGGCAGGAGGTCTAGCAGAGTGTTGACACACAGCCTCCTTTAGTATTTTGCGTTGGGCATCAGAGGTTGAGGTCTGGGGGGAAGAGACTGCTGAGGTTGCTTCTTCCGGATTACAGGCTCCTGCTGGATGGGATCAGATGGTTGGGAGGGAAGAGGAGACCTGTAGGAATCAGCTGGTTGTTCCTCAGCAAGTGGAGAGAATCGGTTTGGAAGATTGACGTCAGGTGGGGAGTTGGGATCAACCACAGGGGCTCTCCTATGGCCACGTACCACAACCTCTGACCAAGATGAAAATTGGTCAGGAGTAGAGCTGGAAGTCGGATTTCGTGGTGCAAAGGGATCCCAAGCAATGGTGTCTTTGAGTAGAGCGTTTTGCACGGATTGGAGCAGAGAGTTTTGCATGGATGTTTTATCTTCAAACTGACTGACAATGGTCCCAGACAGTCCAGGAAAATGAGATCTAAAACTATCCAGCATCATTTCCTTCTTTTGCAGTTCAGCAGAGAGTCGTCGTATGTCTTCTTTAAGGTTTTCATTTATTTTATTTGCCTTAGAAAGCATAAAGGCATCATTGTGGGGCAGAAGCAACGGGATGACAGACATTCAAGATATCTTCAAGGTTGCTTACCCTTTAGCTGGGCTGCCTCTGTTGGATTTGAAAGATTTGTATTCCCAATAAAGGTCCAAGAAGTGTGTGCATGTATGATTTTTTTTTTTTGGGTGGGGGGTCCTAATGAAAGACATTTAACGTGGGTTATGCCTTATAACACATCCATCACAAAATGATGATCCATTCCACACACTCCAACATCCATAATTCCTAACTTTAATAAATGCAACAGTGGCAGGCAGGACAAGACAGGCACACCAATTAGCAGTTAAGAGAGGACTTTTATGCTTGAACAAGAATCAATCAGCTGAAACTGCTCAAAATAGCAGACATACAGTGTTCAAATCTTGGCTGCACCTGGGAATCTGTAGTATTTGAAACAAAGAACCCCAAGGCTGCATAATTGAGCATAATCCCCGAAGTGAAGCGTCACTAATCTAGCACACAAAGCTGCAAACGACGTGATGGTATCATTTGTTTCTTCCACTGCCGGTCGTTCAGTTACTGGAATTCTCAATTATGTAAACCTAAAAGGTCTCACCACTTAATGTCGTTTTTTTTTTTTTCCTGCTTTCCAATGGAGCAGCAAACCAGACAGGTAAGATTATCAAATAATCAAATAATGGCTATAATGGTTACAAACTCATTGCTCTCTGGGGTGGAAGTCATCAATCAAAACACATCTTGATCATTAGGAGCGGTTGTTGGAAAACCAAACCGTTCTTCCCTCAATTTAAAACAAACATATAAAATTTCATATTCTATTTCTATTCAGTTTATTTATATATCGCCAAATAATGGCAAGAGTTGTTTCGAGGCACTTCATGAAGTAAACATTCCAATACAAATTCTTTAAACAGAATGCATAAATTTCAGATATAAAACCTATTTTGCTTATGATGCTGCAAGAACCACACTGCTTTTAAAATACTGAAATACGCGTTGCAATTTTACAAAAAAAAAAATTCTCACAGTTTTGCAAGTTATAATTGTACTGATTTTTACCACTTTTTGCAATTGACCAATGGATACAGCAACTTGTTTTAGCAAACTGTCACAAATTGAGATCAAAGGTACTATCCATCTCGATAAAACAACCAGAACAATTGTGTTCCGAGTTGTTTTAAAAACATGAGAATGTGCTAAAAGTTCTTTGTGAAAGAAAGCATCCTTAAAGGAAATAAAAACATTGAACAATAGGCAAGCATTAATTAAAAAGTATAAAACCAAGATTGAACATTTTACAGCCAGGTGAACAGTTCTGTTAAAAGCAGTATTAAAGACCGACCACAAGACTTCTAAAGGTACTCTCACGGCGACATGAGTAAAAAAAAAGTAAAGTCAGAAATTTGTTTTAGTCACAACAAATGCATTTTTTTGCTGATGCATCAAAAACAAACGTGATAGCTTCAATTTTCTGTGAACTTGTAACTAATAAGGTTAGTGAGGTTTTCTGCAATAGCCAGTGCCCGTTTTACATCTTGGATCAGTGCCACTCCCTCTTCAGTGTTCTCCAATCATGTTTTGTTGTACCACAAAAGCTGCATGTGTCACAACAATCAAGTAATGTTTCAGGGTTGGACTTTAGTGGTAAACTATAGCAAGTTCAGGAATATAGCTGTGTCATCAGCAAAGGTGATCTTCTGGCATTGGCCATGATTCCTTTTTGCAGGATTGACTTAACTCTTGCCTGAAATATTAAACAATGATGATCAATTGGAGACTGATCTAATTATTGTTTAATATTAATAACTTGGCTATATAATGTGTTTTATTTCATTATGTAATTCTATAACGATATAGCACTAATAGACAAATAAAATTGGCTCTTGCCAAGTGTAGATCCTCCACCAGAGGGCAGTACACATCTATATGACTAGAAATGGCAGGTGTATGGTGAAGGTACTAATCCTAATATTACATCTGTAAGTTTTAATGCCAGAATGGGTTGAATGTGTGTTTGTGACAAGGGGTTAAAAAGGTGGTAAACCAGGAAGGGGGTGGAAGTGATTGGTTAAAAATACCTGTCAAAGGCAAATTACTGGGGTATTTGTTGAATTTACATAAGTAGTTGTGATTGTGAAATTGCAGCTTTTTGGAGCCATAGCATCGTCATGAGATGAGGCATGTTTTAGGCAACAGTAAAGACTAGCTATGATTGAGGTATTATTTCTCATCTGAAATCATTTTACAGAAAACGGGCAGAAACAGAAGCAAGAAAAGGAAGTCTGCCCAACAGCAAAGAAATGCCACTTCATCATCCAACTGATCCCGTCGAGCTCCGGCGTCTCAACTTCCAAACTCCCGGTAAGTATTCAAAGCTGCACTTTCATCAAAATTTAAATTGAAAATGCCACAGACTGGGTCCTTCATATGAGCCAAAACAAAAAACATTCATGATTCATTGTCTCTATGACAACCAAACAGACTTCAAAGTATACTGTCAGATCCATCCATCCATTTTTGGCCCCCGCTTGGGTCGCGGGGGCAGTATCCTAAGCAGGGAGGCCCAGACTTTCCTTTCCCCAGCCACTTGGGCCAGCTCCTCCAGGGGAATCCTAAGGCATTTCCATGCCAGCTGTGAGACATAGTCTCTCTAGCGTGTCCTGGGTCTTCCTTTAGGTCTCCTCCTGGTTGGACGTGCCCGGAAAACCTCACCAGGGAGGCGTCCAGGAGGTATCCTAACTAGATATCCGAGCCACTTCAATTGGCTCCTCTCATTGTGGAGGAGGAGCAGGTCTACTCCGAGCCCCTCCTGGATGACCAAGCTTCTCACCCTATCTCTAAGGGAGAGCCCAGCCACCCTGCGGAGAAAACTCAATTTAGCCGCTTGTATCTGCGATCTTATAATTTCGGTCGCTACCCAAAGCTCGTGACCATAGGTGAGGGTAGGAATGTAGATTGACTGGTAAATCGAGAGCTTTGCCTTCCGGCTCAACTCTCTCTTCACCATGACAGACCAGTACAATGCTTGCATCATTGCAGATGCAGCACCAATTCGCAGATTGATATTGCATTCCAGCTGTCCCTTACTGGTGAACAAGACCCAGAGATACTTAAACTCCTCCACCCTTTTACGACTCAAGACCATGGTCTCAGATTTTGACGAGCTGATTCTCATCCCAGCTATTTCACAGTTTGCTTCGAACCACTCTAGTGAGAGCCGGAGATCACATTCTGATAAAGCCAACAGGACCACATAATCTGCAAAACCAGAGACCCATTCTTTAGGAGGATACCCTCAACACCTTAGCTGCACCTAGAAATCCTGTCCATAAAAGTTATTCAGATGTTGTTCAGATGCTTAAAAAAATTCTTCCATCACCTACGCCGAGGCGTTGGCATTGAACATGAGGGCCTTTTGTGAGGAGACAGTGGACAGGTGCTCATGTCCCTGGAGATGCTTCACGGAAGAAAAAAGAGGCAGGAATGCAGGCTTGATGCTAACATGGCATATGTCATCTTCATCTGCACCTGGGTTATCCAGGTCATCATAGCTCGTCATACATACTCAGAATAGAACAGAACAGCTTCAAAGGTACAGTGCTGTGTAAAGTCACAGCAGAAGGTGAAGGAAAACGTATGAAGGCTGCAAGTTCTATTTTTGTGTGAAAGCCAGTGAGACAGGAGTACTGGCGTTTTGTTGCTTTGACCCATCTTTTCTGACATCAGTCCCATCTTGGCTCATTCACGTTTGCTGTTTCTCACCTCAGGTAAAAATGAGAGTCTCCATCTGTATATTACTTGGAGAGGTGGCGTGCATCTTTAGCCGTACCCAGACCGACAGCTTAACTACCTCAACTTCCTCTGGCATTGACTGCTTTTGGACTGGTGTTCAGAGACTGCCAATAATGTTGAAATATCAAAGTCGTATTTTCAGGTCAGCTGGTATAAAAGACGAATATATTATCCCCGCAGGCTTTTTGTAATGCATATTTATGAAAGCTCCTCAATGATTTTAGGACCATTACAGAGTGCTTCATCCTAGCAGAGGGGTATTTTTCATTTTGGCTCAGAGTGATTTCAACTATCCTTCCACTATTTCACTCACCTCTCAAGCCATCATTTCCCCCCTCCCCAAAAGCTTTTCTGAGAGCCAGTATCTTGCCTATTTCGCTGCTCAAAAGAAGGGCCAAACATTTTTTTTCTCACCATCTCTCAAGTACTTCTACATAAGAACACCTCTCTCTTCCCTTCCCTTCCCTTCTTTTCACCTCTTTACCCTCTCATTGGACATTTCCATTATAAGGATGCTTGATGATTGAACGACGGCATGTCAGAAAAGGCACTTTCATTGACACCCCCCCCCCCCCCCCCCAGGGAAAATGGATTTTGAGTAGGAGATGGTAATAGAAACAACTTTTGCAGTCTTTCGGAGTGGGTGCGCCAACAGCGCAGCTTCCATTAGCTAATGCCTACTTGTGCCAGAAACAAAAATGAAACATCACTGTGTTTCCATGACACCCAGCTGGTAAGCCTAAATGGTGCAAAAGTTTTTGAATATTTGATATTTGGTAATCAGTTGGATTTGTCACACCAGTAAAAAAAGAAAGGTATTTGTGATTTTTTATTTTATTTAATGAAATGTCTTTATTACTTTGCTTTAAAAAAGCATGAGTTGAGATTGAAACATGATGCTGCAGACTGTAGCAGCAGTACGCCATGTTAGCCCTGTCAGTCGAAAATCAAGACATCTCTCAAGTAATATTTGATTGATAAAACGCTATGATGGTATAACCATTTTTAGGTGTGAAGGGATTTAATTAATACAAAAAATACTATTAGTGCTAGATCTATAGCTTTGTGTCACACTATACTGTACTGTACTGATTTTGAGAGAAATATACATCTAAGACATTAGTGGTTTTCTTGTAAATTAACTTTTTTTAGTTAAAAAAACAGAGAACTGAACCAGCCAGTGGTTTAAAAACAACATACATTTAGAATTCATCAAGATTTAAACACCTTCACAAAAAATGTAAATTAAAAGAACATTATCTTGAACATAAGTTGCTTTTATTGCGATTGAAGCCACACTCAATAACTTTTTTGACAAGCCGCTTCTAAAGGTTTCTGTCCTCCACAGTCCCCGTGCAGTGTCTGGGCATCTGAGCTTCAGCTCTAACGGAGAGAAGCTTCAGGAGCACTGCATTGCTTCAGTTTGCCGTCTCAGCTGATTCTGTTTAAAAAAGCAAAACTTATGGCCCGTGTTTACTTTTATTTTCAATATAGTTGCTGGCTGAAGCTCGCCAGTAACTCCCCACGTTATCATGATACCTTCTTCTGTTGCACCAAGGCATAATCGCTGTTTATAATGTTTATCTTTCTTCTTCTTCCACCTCTTGGAGAGTACAGACGCTTTTTTCTCCTCTCCCTCCCTCTCTTATCCCAAGGCTCTTTGTCCTGTCTTGTGCACGGCGCTTTCTGCAGTTTTTTCTGGAAACTGGAAATTATTAAAATGGATCTGGTCAGTTGGTCACTCAACGCAATTGACAACATTTTTTCAACGATGAAAATAGGAGAAGGGGCTCCCGGATACCCCTCTGGGACAGAGCCAGCTGGGTATATAATGGACTCCTGGAAACAGTGGAATCTGATCTGCCTCTCTCAACTGTCTGTAGAGGATTCTGAAGATGTCTGGATATTCGTGGTTTTGGTGTTGGGATTTATGCTGTTTGGCCTGAGCGGTTACCTGGCTTACCGGAAAATTAACGAGCTTTCGAGGAATATTGGCTCAAACCCAGAGCTTAGGGATGGAATGCATCGCACTGTGAACGCACAAACTCATATAATTGTTGAGTTGAGTCGTATGCTTGGAACTTTCGCTGAGATTCAGGCTTTGACCCAGAAGGTGGATTCCATCAAGGACAGAGTTGTGGATGGATCAGCACAGATTGGGATAGGTTCATTACGCCATTATTGGATCTAGGGTTGTCAGAGTGTGAAAATTTAACCTCACGGTTATTGTGACCAAAATTATCATGGTTTTCGGTATTATCGCGGTATTTTTTTTAAACGTGTTACATTTTCAGACAACTAAATAAACCCTGTATATCAGGAAAATATTGTCCTCAGTTTGTGTCTAAATTTTGCCTAAAATTTGTTGTTTTGTAATTATGTTGTTTATTTGTTGACATGTTTCCCCTTTAGTCTTTAAAATACCAATATTTGCCCATAACTTCTTATTTTTGTTCTGTTTGATGACATCATTTTAAAAATATTAGATCAGACGATACTCAGTACTCAAGTAGCCTTCTAATCGGATACTTTTTTTTACCCTTACTTGAGTAATAAACCTTATATCAGGAAAATATTGTCGTCGGTATGTGTCCTTCCAGTGAGCTTTGCAGATGTGGGAAAATGTCATCAGGAAGTAATCATTGTTAAATTCATAATTATTCTCGGAGAGAGACCAACTCTTATCTGCCCCTGGGAGCCCCGTAATGCATAGCGTCATTTCAATATGGGGGTGACCGCGAAACGGTTTATATGCAGGTAGCAGTGCTGCGGCTGCTTTATATAGCGACTTGTTGCATTCTCCCTCAACCCAAATCCTCAGATCACAAATTTTAGCTAAAATGCTAACGTTAGCTTGCCTTGCGTTGTCTGTAGAGTTGTGGGTGATGGTCACGCAGATGTGTCATGAGATTTGAAGCGTTGCTGCCTTTCACAGTAACTTTTTCCTGCACATGCTGCAAACAGGATAGCTGTCTTCTATAAACTGTCCCTCGGCATTCTTCAAAAATCCAAAAAATGCCCGTACATCCCACTTTGTCTTTTTTGAGGGATAATAAATGTCCTGAGTGCTGCCGTCTCCTCCTTTGGCCATTATTTCAGCTTTAGCTTCAAGAACGTTTTGGCTGTAAACAACAAAGTGCGCGTGTGCCACCAGCAACTTCAGCATATGATACGGTGGCTGGTAAGGGTCACCGCACCTACACCGCAGCCGCGGTAATCCACCGAGATGATAGATTTTTTTAAAAACAAGACGGTTATTATTATTGTCAACTTTTTTACCGGGGTTTACCGCTACACCGGTTACCGTGACAACCCTAATTGGATCTTGAGGGGTTGATGACAGAACTCTAAGGCAGAGAGGAAATTGGCCCAAAACAATGCTTATCTGAATCTGGTGCCCTTGGAGCCTGCAAGGCTGAAGTAAAAACTCCCCCCTCAGAAGAAATATGAAATGCGGCTGTTGCTATGGTAACTCTTCTAGCCTATCCCACTCTGGGCGGGACTGTGACCGGTGAGGGCCGTAGAACCGTATCTAGGAGTCATTGTGCTCTCTAACCCATTACCTCAGTCCCCTGTCCAAACGGAGGTGAAATGCGCTGCTCTGCGGCTGCACGCACCGAAGTGAGGAGAGTCCCAACCCTACCTCACCATCTAGTGGACACTTATGTTGTATAATGTCTGAAGCCTGTGAGCATTTCTGTCTGAGGTGTTTTTTTTTTTTTTTTTTTTGCATAGCAAAGCTACCCTCTCTGGTGAGGGTAACTCTGAAGTGCCTTTTTTTCCCTCCCCCCAACTCTATCCTCATATAAACCCTCTTGATCTATTACAGTAGCGCGACTCGGGTTGCAAATGACCACAGTCACCAATTCTTGTCGTGTGTGTATGTATGAATGTCTGATCTCAGAATTGTGTGTACTGAAACTCTAATTTCCCTCTGGGATTAATAAAGTATTATTGAATTGAATTGAATTATAAGACAGACAACACAATATTACTGCCAAGCAAGACAGAATGAATGCTGCAAAATTTGCGCATCGCCATGCTGGCATGGCACATTTATAATATTACAGTAATATTATACTGATTTGCTGTCATGATGCGTCTCTTGTAAAATGGGCTTTACAGTATTCTCGCGTGGGTCCCCGGAAGCCTGTGTGCAGTTTAAACCCTGGTGACTCACCACCATTATTTTATGGTATTTACAGTAAAATGGAAAAAATACACAGTTTTAGACAAAATTCTTTTCAGTACCAGTATGAATGAGTTCATTATGGTTTTAACCCACTGTTGGATCAATTAGATCTTATCTTATCTGATCTTATCCAGATACCACCTAATGCTGATTTCTTCTCCCAGAGTATCTTGCATTATTTTGTTACTAATAACTGTCCCATCTAGTTTACTTATTCAGCTATTTATCACATTTTAATTTCTACTCTTTGTCTTTTGAAGAAAGTAGTCATCACATGTCTTTTCATCACAGTTAATTCCACCACCATTTCCTTCACAGGTTCAGGTGCATCCAGTTACCCCAGTAATCTCCATTTGTCAAGTTAGTTGTTCTCGATTATTCATTTGACATAACTTGTCCTTCTTTTACCTTTTTTTTCCTGCCAAGCTTTGAATTTCCATTTGCATCTAATCCATCTGGTGTTAACACAAAATCAGGAGGTGGAGTTTAAAATGACAACATGTTATTGCTCAAATCAGCTATTTGTTTTTTGGGGGGTTTTGTGGCATACTCTCACGCTAACTATCCATTTCAGCCTTCTGTGTGAATAACATGTTTCTCTCGAGATAGGGAGTGGGGACGAGTGTTGATGACCTCCCATTTGCTTTTTTGTCCATTTTCTCTTTATTGGCATGGTCACTGCTTTGAGTGAACAAATCAGCCTAACAATCTTCCATTCCCACACTTATTATCACATACCGCTAATTAAAACATTGTTTGCTTGGGTTTTGGAGATGACTGATACCAAGACCGGTCAATCACTTTTCTGTCTTTATTTATCAACAGGTATGGCTAGCCACCCTCCAATCCCCATCATGGAGTTAGCTGATCATGTAGAGCGCCTGAAAGCCAACGACAACCTCAAGTTTTCACAGGAATATGAGGTATGATCAGAAAATACAAGCAATTTTGAATGAATTGTATTTGTCCATAAAAGTAGAAGAAGAAAGTTGTCAATAACCAAAGTAGTTTTTCTATCTGCGCAAAGCGGTATACTTTTGAATTATTGTTGGCTTTGGCATCCCTTACTTCAGTAAACGTGTAAGAAATGTTGAAAATTATCAATCTTTGTTAAAAAATGAAGCAAAAAGATAGCAACACATTCAGGATGAAAAGGAATGAACTTGGATGAAGCCCAAAAATGAAGATGCATCATGTGACAAACCAGGTTGTTTTAGTATATGGCTTGCCAATTAATTAAACTGTTTATTGTCATTTTAAAAATAATTAGTGTTGTCTATGCCTGTGCATACTAATCCATTTAACTGGCAGGCACATATGTGGGCAGCAAACCATTGTGTCAATCAAACAACGAGGGTGGCCTTAAAAGCAAAGGTACTTTTTAATACAACACAGAAAGTTTTGTGGATTTTATGTTTAAATCAAAACCATATAATTATTTCTGTGAAATCAAATGGTGTAGGTTTGATTTTTAAAAGCTGCTCAAAAGATGCCTACATCTATGGTATACCCATTGTTGACAATTAGCCCACACACAGTGTAGTGTGAGCATTGCACACATTTCCTATAAGGGATGTCCCGATCCGATCACATGATCGGAAATTGGCCCCGATCACGTGGTTTCAGACTGATCGGGACTCGGGCTTTACTTCCCGATCCGGACTCGGATACTGGGTTCAAATTACCTGAGAGCAACTTGGTTCTCCTTAAAGGTTGCCAGGCTCCCCTGATGCCCTTAACTTACACACCCAGAAGGAGCACAAAAAATATCCCGTTTCTACCTATATTATATTATTTATATGGACTCAACGTAGCGGGGATTCTTTTGAGCAGAGCAGCAGGCAGGCCGCTGATTATTCATGAACTCCAGCTGCGTTCTACACACTGCCACAGTAACATTTTCTAAGTTTGTAAGTGGCGTCACCAAAAATATACAATGAACACACAGTCATTCGTGTCCATTCATTTTCTCTGGTAATTTCTGTCTATTTGAGCATGACGTGTGGACGCGCTCGCGCTGCAGCACTCGTCACTGGCGCAGCCGGGCAGCGCAGTGCACACTTCGCTTTTTTTGCGATCAATAGATCAATTTTATCTAATAGTTAAAAAGTTACTTGTGAGGTGAAAAAGAAGGAAGCAGGCAGGAGTTTTTCTGGAGGACTGGGAGATGCAGGAAGATCGGAGACAGACAGGACAGGAAGATAGGAAAATAAAAACCAAGAAAACAAAACTAAGTACTTAAAAAAATAAAAAGTAGGTAGATTTATCCCACTACACGTTTGTACCTGTATAAAATAATAATTTATCAGAATGTAGTATTTATATAGTTGATACGATTCAGATCATCTTTAAAACTCCGTTCCATGCCAGGGACGTTTCTAAGCATTTTGGGGGCCGAGGCAAAATAGACCCCTGCCAGGTATTTTAAGCTGAAGTGCTATCTGTTTTTATAATAGACTTTTTATATTTGCAATAAAGTCCAAAAGTGAAGAATTTATGTTATTTATTACTTGATTGTTCAAGCTACCTCACAGAAGTGTTGTTAAAAATTAAAATAAAAAGGTAATTAAATAAAAAAATAAGGAACATTCTAGAACTGTTTCTTCCTTTTCTTTTCTTTTTTTTATGTATTGAAAGCATCGGATCGGGACTCGGTATCGGCAGATTCTCAAAATCAAATGACTCAGACTCAAGGGCAAAAAAACCTGATCGGGACATTCCTATTTTCTTTGATCGCTTTTTTTGTTTTTAATATCATAAAAATTGTAAAAATAAATAGATATAATGTTAAATAAGCCAAACCAAAACTGTCTGAAATTGTTGATTTCTAAAACTCAGCATCAGTATTCAACAAAAGCAAACTGGTTCACTTTTACCATGTCCTTACTTTTACCCTTCAAGACTGTGTACAGAACATTTTGGTGTAAATGCACAAGTTTCTAGTGTATAGTTTTGTTTGCAGAACATTCATTGATCCCAAAGCAAAAGACAGGGTCACCATACTGTATGTATGGTTGCATAGCTGCCCAATCATTACCACACCTTGAGTACCTCTCAATTGCAATTTCACACTGCTTACTCGAGAACAATGGAAAACAATCTTATGAGCGCAGTGTAATAAATATCTTTATTGCGAGCAACATTGCAGTCCACTGTTTCAATGTATTTTGATAAAATATCATGCTGAGCCAGTGCTTTGTCTCCTACGTACTGCTGTAGATAAAGAACACGGGCATGAAATATATTATAAAGCTTTTAATGTTCACATCCATGGAACGCCGTCACTCTTTTGATTTTATTTTTGTGATCCAGTATTCTGTTTCAATTACCAAGAGAGACCATTATCAACTGCTAGGGATGAGCCGGATACTCGTTTCAGACGAGTATCCGGTACGGATAAAGCTTTTTTGACGAATACTAGGGCTGGGTGGATCGATCTAAAATATCGATAGTATCGATCTAACATTGGTTTTTAGTATTTACTAGATACCTGCGTTATGGTATCAATTCCGTTTCTTCTAGCCTGGCAAGCCATGACGTACTCACCGCTACAGATGTCGGTCAATGAGGCAGTCCACCAAACTCCGTCAAAGAAGATGCAAAACACATCCTTTTACTAAATAAACGTTAGTACTTCTATCTGATCTTGACTCAAACAAAAGCTAAAGTCATAATAGTCCAAACTTGATGCCAAAGCCGTTTCAAACGAGCGGCTGACCGCCGACTAGTCACGTTTTGTTTTTGGTTATTTTTCTAATAACATCCCACCTACTTAGTGTTGCGATTGGCCCATGAAATCTATATAGCGCCATGATTGGTCCACTACAGAATGGCAGCCATCCTGATTTGTAGTTTACCTGGCTGATACCTGTGATTGGACCGTTTCGAGCGGCAGCCATGTTTGTTTGCAGGGACATCCCGCCTACCTCGCTAAAAGAGCGCTGTGATTGGCCCAACAAACCAGTAAAGCACTTTGATTGGAACGCTACTGATGTCAGTCAACCGGGCAGTCCGCTGTTACATTGAAAAAAAGTAAAACAGTGCGCCAGCACGAGACAAGCACAGAACAGCAGAAAGCACTGTTGTGGCTGCGTGACGGCAGACCGAAAAAGGAGCGCCGTTTGGAATTTTTTTTACACAGCTTTATAGATTTCAAATAGAAAAAAAATCTTGAGCTTGTTAACCATTTTAAACCATTTTGAGTTTCCTAATGAAAACATTATTTGCCTGAAAATGTTCCCTGTATTTTATTATCATCGTACACATGATTTATTAAAGGAAAAATTACAAAATAATTAAGTCATCAATAAAACTTGAGTTTTCAGACAAGATTCTCATACTGATGATGAATAAGGTTAGGGTTACATCATCAGTATGAGAATCTTGTCTGAAAACTCAAGTTTTATTGATCCTATTTATCTTAATAAATCCCACAAAACTACTAGACTAGTAGTAAAAAGTATTGGTATTGGTATCGGTATCGGCAATACTAGCCCCTGTATTTACTTGGTATCTGATCGATACCAAATTTTGCAGTATCGTACAGCACTAACGAATACGAGCATGAAACGAGTAAAACTCGTAAATATCTGTAATCGTGCTGAAGGAAAATCCTCATTGGGTAACTGACTGTCTTCACTTTCTGTGGTTGGCCAGTCACATAGAGCGCCCACCCCTCCCTACACACAAAACTCTGCAGCCTGGTGCTCAGTCCGTCCGGCCCATCCACGCACACAACAGTAACTGATCTCGCTGTGCTTGCTTCACTGTTGCTCACATTTCTTCAGTACTCTCTAGGTTTTCCTCAGCTCGCCTCTTTTTGGTTGAATATTTAAAGTGACTTTTTTCGTAAATTACGTGGTGCATTTGACAAGACAGCTGACGTGCTGCGCCGGTCACTGCCTCCCCTCCGGTCGGGTTTTTTTTTTTAACTCTCTCCCTCTCTCACACACACACACACACACACACACACACACACACACACACACACACACACACACACACACACACACACACACACACACACACACACACCTTAATCAACATTTTGTTTAACTTTATGTGGGAAAAATGCCAAGAACGTTAAGAAAAAATCTGTCTAATCAAATTAAAATAAAATAAAAGTTGCGTCTGGTTCTAGTATTTCATATTTCCTAGTTTCTACTGCATGAGTTCAGATGTATTAATTCTTGCACTTAAATATAAATGTTCTGATTTTATTGAAAAACTTGTTCTGTAATAGTTCCTTTACTATTGTGATCGAAAATATTTAATCTCAATTCTGAGGCTGCTCTGTAAATAGTTTGCAAATAAACAATACACATAGCTACTTCTGATCAATCCATATCAATTTCAGACTTAAAATAATGTATTGATGTAAACCACACCCACTTCCGGGTTATGCCACGCCCACTCCAAATACAGATACAGATAATTTAGATGGTTGAACAGATACAGTTAGTGGTGTACTCGCTCATCCCTAACCTCTGCTTCACAAAGCTAAAATAGGGTTTGAATGCATGATTGAACTTATTATGAGTGTGGTATACTATGATGTTTTCCTATGTGGTGAGTCTAGCATATATAAATGCTTTTGACTTGTGGTTGATGTCATATGTTGTAATTATTTAATGACTAAAGACAGATTGCATTTAGGTTGCAGCTCAGATTCCAGTTCTCAAACTTCTTAAGGTATTAATCAGGTTAAATGTTGAGATACTAGACTTTTCTAAATGACATCATAGCCTGATTTGCATTATTTAGTTCATGTATGCTGAAAAACTGATGAATATGAAGCATGGCACTCAGGTGGGTGAATATTTAATAGAGGCAAAAACGAACTACTAACAATTCGACACCACGTCTATTTCAGACCCTAACACTTCATTCTGAACTGATGAATAATATCATGGAGGCACAAAAAAGGCACCCAAAACATATTTAGAACTATAAATTATATTTTGTTCTTTATTTACCACATAAGAGTTACCAAACTGTAAATTATACAAAAGTGAAAGTGCAGTCATCCTTGTACCTATTCATACACACATTCATGCATCGGTTGGGGCACATTGACGGAAGTTAGGCTACTATACAATCGGCACCACCTATCCCTCTGACCACCACAGGTAGGACCCAAACCTGCAACCCTCTGGTTACAGGGCAGGCATTTAAAGTCCCATTTAGTCGTCACCTTCTCTGCCACTGTTACCCCTACTTATGTGTTACTTTAGCTAGGTGTGGATCACTTCATGCCTTCACATTTCATTTGCAGTCTTGACACAGAGGCGGAAGCATATCCTGATCTGACTGCGGCTCATTGTGGCATTAGGCTGCCTGTGAGTGCTTTGGACTTTGGGCCCTTAGCAGTACTCCACACTTGTTGAGTACGTAAGAACCACATGTGTTTTTATAACTCCAGTAACGTGAAAGTAAAACAAGTTAGCTTTTAAACGCAATCACGGCCATGGAACTCTCACCCCTCCCGTTGAGGATTATCCTTAGGACCCGTCCATTGGAACCAGAATCCACATTACCAGAGGAAACAAGATGCTAAAAACCAGTTTCTGTATTCTAGGTCCAAACATCTTTTGTTGTCTGTGACTTCAGATGGTGTTTTTCTTTTTGGGACTCGGGTAGTTTGTCCTAAAGTTGAAGTGGTAGCAGCCGGCGGTTTCTCCTTCTCTGATTGATATATATATATATATATATATATATATATTAGGGATGAGCCGGATACTCGTTTCAAACGAGTATCCAGTACGGATAAAGCATTTTTGACGAATACGAGCATGACACCAGTAAACCTCGTAAATATCTGTAATCCTGCTGAAGGAACATCCTCATTGGGTAACTGACTGTCTTCACGCTTTGTGATTGGCCAGTCACGTAGAGCGCCCACCCCTCCCTACACACAAAACTCTCTAGCCGGCCGGGAGCTCAGTCCGTCAGGCTCATCCACGCACACACACAGACAGTAACAGATCTTGCTGTGATTCCTTCACTGTTGCTCACGTTTCTTCAGTTTCCTTAGATTTTCTTCAGTTCACCTCTTTTTCGGTTGAATATTTAAAGTAACTTTTTTCGTAACTTACATGGTGCATTTGACAAGACAGAGCTGACGTGCTGTGTCTCTACCTCCTCTCCGGTCGGCTTCTTTATTTTTTTTAACTCCCTCTCTCTCCCTCTCTATCTCTCTCACACACACACACACACACACACACACACACACACACACACACACACACACACACACACACACACACACACACACACACACCTCAATCAACATTGTTTTGTTTAACTTTGTGCAGGAAAATGCCAAGAACGTTAAGAAAAAAATCAGTTTAATCAAATTAAAATAAAATATATATATATAAAGTTGCGTCTGGTTCTAGCATTTCATATTTCCTAGTTCCTACTGCTTGAGTTCAGATGTATTAATCCATGCACTTAAATATTAATGTTCTGATTTTATATAAACACTTGTTTTGTAATAGTTCCTTTACTATTGTGTTCAAAACTATTTAATCTCTATTCTGAGGCTGCTCTGTAAATAGTTTTCAAATAAACCACACACATATCAACTTCTGATCAATCCATATCAATTTCAGACTTAAAATAATATATTGATGTAAACCACACCTACTTCCGGTTAAACCACGCCCACTTCCGGATTATGGCACGCCCATTCCGAGTACAGATACAGATAATTTAGTTGGTTGAACAGATACAGATAGTGGTGTACTCGCTCATCCCTAATATATATATATATATATATGCCTTTTTTTTACTCTCCACAATATATTTATAGCTCCACTATCTTAAAGCGTTGTTGAGAGGCATGGTATAACATTTAAGCAAATTTGTTTAGCATTGTTTGTTTTTTATTACTGTTTTCGCTAATCACTAGAACTAATTAACACAAATCTAAATGTAGCTTCAGCTCAGTCAATTCAATACCTAACCTTTTAAAAACACATTTTATATATAAAAACATTAAGCTTAATTTTAAGTTTATACGTTGAATTTGTGTTTAAACTAGCACTTTTCTCAGTTTTGAGCTTGAAGACTGCTCATATTTATGCATCAGTAACTCTTCCATGAAGTAGTAATTCATCAATATTTTAGAGCCTTTCAGCTTCACTGTTTTGCACAGCTGAGAACAGCAGCACTAAAAATCCATATTATGAATAACAAAAGTACGTGAGGCAAATTTACAGCCTTTGCTCTGCAACAAATGTGCTATTAGTGTAGAGATGTCCTAAAATAGATTTTGGGGCCAACTCAAACACCTGACAGACAAGACTAAAATATTTAACAGTTCTATTATTATTGTAGAGGTTCTCCTTTTGGCAAACCAAGACCTAGATGGAGTTAGGACACACACACACACACACACACACACACACACACACACACACACACACACACACACACACACACACACACACACACACACATGCACGCACACACAAAATAACACAACTATTGTCTTTAAATGGGCTTCTGACCCTCAAAGCATGTTTGTGTAAAATGTATAGATAAATACCTTGTTGCTAGTTGGAGTTTACGATTATCTAGTTTTAGCTGCTGTTGCTTCTGATTGGATATGTAGAGGTTCAGTCAGACACAGTCAATTATTTCAGATCAAGTCTGAGCTTAGTCTTGACCAAACGGTCAAAAACTGCTCCAACTTACACATTTCACATATTTCATTTGTTTAAATTTTTTTAATGATAAAAATTCCCAGAAGACAAGTATACACATTGGCCTTGGTTATACATGTTCCTCAGGAGAGTTAACTCTCATTTCTCTGAACAAAAGTTGTTTAGGAACCCCTCTACAAGTAAAGTGGTAAATAATAATAATACATTTTGTCAAAAATGTTGTTTTTGTTACAGAATCATCATCATGATCATCAAATTTGCTTATAAAGCACTTTCCATCAATCAAAGCAAAGTGCTGTACACACATAAAAGAATTTAAAACATAAATGACCCTTTCATAAAAGCAAATAAAAGCAAAATATATTGGTAAAGGAACAAAATAAAACTGGATAAAAATGTGACTAACTCACATGTTGAGGGAATAAATAAGTCATACTTCAAATGACCCAAAAATAAGCCTAACCCTTTTGGAGGCTCTTACAGTGAGTTCTACTAAATAAATGAAATTACATTAGACCAGATGTATCTTGCAATAATTTTAAGCTAAAAGGAAAATTTTGGGTAGCCCTCAGATATTGACACGCACTACCTCTTCGACAGCATTCAATCATTTAAGAATATTTCACCACACCACTTGTTGGGAAAAGGATTTCATTGTAATAAACACAAAAATGGTCTCTTCTCTTGCAGTCCATCGACCCTGGCCAACAGTTCACATGGGAGCACTCCAACCTGGAGGTCAACAAACCAAAGAACAGATACGCCAATGTAATTGCCTACGATCACTCCAGAGTTCTACTCTCTGCTATTGACGGTACGCCACCCACTGACGTCTCCTCTTCTAACTGCTGTATCGATCCTACAGAGAGCTTGTACAAATGTATTTTTAAAACCTCAGGTGTGCTGCCACACTGGTAAAATTACATTGTATTTATACTGATAGAATCAGCTTAGATAGTTTGCAAAGGAAGAGTAGTTCTAAGGGGAAAATGCTATTTTTAAAGGCAAAACAAGAAAGTAAAATTGGAGGTATAATAAGTTTCCCCACCATCTGTTGTGGCACAAATAAAAAGCACACACACACTTTTGAGAAGATAATACAGGTGAATGAGTACACCCAAATGGTTTTGTGTCTACAAAACTGATTGGTTCCCACCACAAAATGTTTGCCTGCAAAAGGAAACTTTGAGGAAATGTTTATTAGGAAAATGTCAGAGGGCCAGAAAACATGCAGAAAGGACACTCTGACCTGGTACTGCAGACCCGTCATTAGGTTTATTTCATATGACAGCAGCTCTTATCATTGACAGCATCTAGTATTCTAACTTTATATCAAGCAAGTCTCTGGCTGTCTATATTGTGTTTTTAATTAAAACCCATGTCTTCAAAAAAGAGAGCCATAGAAGATTCCATTTTTAAGGTTTTTTTTTCTTCCAGAACGTTTATTTTTTATGCAAAATATTTGTATATTGTTTTTTTTTTTTTGCTCAGTTTTATTTGTTTCCTACATCTGTAGGCAACTTTTTAATAGGTATTTTATTTTAGTTAACAAACTTTAATGTTTTCATGAAAATGGGGCTTTCTTTTTACATTTATGTCAAACAAACCCATTTCAGAGCTGTCTGAAGGGTCTGTAGTACCTTAAAGACACGTCACACTCCATGCCTGCTATTAAATAAAAAGGGTTCTTTAAAATGGCCTTCCAAAGTACCAGCCAATTCCTCTGTTTATGATCACACACACACACACACACACACACACACACACACACACACACACACACACACACACACACACACACACACACACACACACACACACACAGCTATTAATTAACCATTTCCTTTCAGGCCAATGGAAACGAAACAAAGTCGTAAATGGATAATGTTGTAAAAACCGATAAAGACTTAAGAGCGCTCCTTTTGTAGTCACTCGCACGGCTTCAGTGTTGATGGAGCTCCATTAGTCGACCATCTAACACTTCTGCACAACCATACTGAAGTCTTTCTGCAGCTGAAAATGAGCAGATCTCTGCCAGATGGACACGGGGGACATTCCTCCTTGTTAAGCTTAAGCAAAGCCTTTTGGCAAGCAGTCCTTCCATTGTTTACTTTGATTGAGTTCTTTACATAAAAAGGGGATTTAAGATTTGACATTAGAGATTGAAGTTTGAATATATCGATGTGGGGATGGATCAGCAGAATCTTCTGCCAACAGACGTCCTGACGTCCGTTTGTGGAATTCATTTCAGTGACATCAATAAAATTGCTTCTTTTTCATGACTTCAGCACTTTGTGCTTTACAATTAAATTAAATTACATTAAACTGCAGTCCCCAAAATACTGCTAACCTTGATCTGACTAAATAAGATGATTGGTTGTTCTTGTTGTGTTTCCTGAAAATTTGAAGTCGCCTCCAAATTTCTTCCAACATTTTCGTTTTGAGGACAGGGATTAAGAAAAATTGGACATTTGTAGTACGGAAGCTACAACAAAGTCCCTTTTTTCAGTGAACGTTTTTTATAATTAGCAACCTTTGGAACAGCACGTTGCGCTGAAAGTGTGAATTCAGAAGAATAAAGATCAACATCCTCACCATTTAAGTCATGAAATGCCTCAGCATTTCATTCAAGTTTCCTTTGCTTTCTTTCAACAATGTTCCACAAAACACCACAAAAACAGCAATGCTCATTCCTTTTGAGCCACAATGACTTTGGAAATGGACAAATTTGAACAAATCCTGAGTGACAGAACAGAATAAAGGCAAAATCCATTTGCAAATGTACATTAAGCAACTCGCCTCGCTCTCATTAAACTTCAGTAATGTCTTATTTTGGGTTTTTTCTTTTCAAATTGAAAACACACTGGGCTTAATTGTACTTATCCCCTTGTCCATCATAGAAATGCATGGGCTCTTTGGCTGTGTGGACAACTTCAACAGCGAAAAGCAGGCGTGGTGGGAGGGGAAAGAAAATAATGTGGGTGGGTTCTTTTAATGTGCTCGTATTTTCCCCTTTTTTATGTTAAACAAGTTACCTGGGAGGAAAAGAGAGTCTGAGAGAGAGGAAAGCAGTTGGTGTGTTGGGGGGGGGGGGGGGGGGGGGGGGGGGGGGTTGTCTCTGAGACGTGGCGCCCATGCTGATGAGACTTATCTTGGTCGACCATGTGTGCACGGAGCCCCTAAACTGCCAGTCCTAAAGCATTGACTAGCTGTCAGCTCTGTCTGTTTTGCCTGGATTCGAAAAAGGCTGCGGCGCCTTTCATTTATTATAAGCAAAGGAAAGAGGGAGCGAGGAGAGCTGGGGGAAATTGTTTTGCTAGTTTCTTGTTGGTTTGTTTTTCTTCGTGTTTATCGTTAAGTCAGTTGCAGATATGGAATAGGGAAATGTGTTGTTGATAGCAAACACAAATCCCTTCGGAGGCCTCCAAAATGTGTGTTTTTGCTGTACTTTGTACAGGAAACACTGGCTTTACTCAAATAGTTTTAGGAAGCACAAAAGAGAGCATGACATTGTGTTAAATGAGCCGACAGGCAGTTATTTGATATTATCTCCAATAAGCTGTCAGGAAAATAAAAGCTTAGAGACAAAATCAAGGCCTAGATCACACATTTTAATTTAATTTACTTTCTTAAAAAAGTTTAAGGAACTTGGAGAAATCAATGTTTTAATTTACCCAAATTCTAAACTAAACATCCTTTTTTCTATTAAGGAATCCCGGGAAGTGATTATATCAATGCTAACTACATAGACGGCTACAGGAAGCAAAATGCTTACATTGCTACCCAAGGATCTCTGCCGGAGACATTTGGGGAATTTTGGAGGATGATCTGGGAGCAGAGGAGCGCCATCGTCGTCATGATGACCAAACTGGAGGAGAGGTCCAGGGTAAATGACAAAACCTGTCTTTAAACAATTTTTCAACCCAAACAGATTTCTGTTAACCACTTTAACCCCCAACTCTCACACAATGGCATTTTATAGTTCTAACTGGTTTTGTTCCACTTAAGCCGGGCAAACGTTGTGCGACTTTTTCACATGTAGCATTTAGCTCCATCTCAATCCGGACAAATTCCTCACAGAGCAAAGCTCATGAGTCGTGTTTTCACACCGTATGACCCAGTACTCAGATGGGACCTGACTATACACACTATATGTGTGGTAGCAACACGTTGGACCTAAAAATATGCTTAAAATTGTAGTTTAAACACAACACCTTGGACCGTCGAGTCTGAAAACACGTAAGACCCATAGACTGTTGTGATGTTATCGGTGTCTTTTGTCCTTTGGGCTTACAGTAGCTGTAGGATGACACACAAGTATTTATAGGGGTTGGAGGACGATGAAACAAAGTAAAATCGTAATTTAGCATCCATTTATTTGAGTCAGTGTGCTGCTTCAACAGTGCGATACTCCCAAGAGGAACGAGCAAAATAGCAAACATGTTTGCACGATTCATGAGGCGTTAATCACCTTTCGTAACCCACACAACGTACGACACAAAAAACGCCACGACCTAAAGGATTCTCGCATGAGAGGGAAATCGCCTCAGAACGGTCCAAAATTTGCAGTTTAAGCCCAGCTTTACTTAAGCAGCAGTAGCAACAGTGGCAAACGTACCCACACCAAAGCCACGTTGTGCAAATGTGAATAATGGCTAGGGTTGTCAATGCTACTTTTCTTTCTAACTTCACCAGGACAGGAAAAATTATTGGGCAGGTTTTCTCAAATTTGGACGCAATACAAAGCTGACAGCTCAAAGGAACTGAAGAAGCAGGAGGTTAAACTCAACAGTGGCAAAAAACCTTTTAAAGAAAACCCACGGTCTTGTCATTATAAACAGTAGGATGGAATTGTTAGTGGTTTAGAATATTTTAAATCATTTTGTAGTTTTAAACCAGAAACTGTCTATTTAATGAGTTTTTTACTCAGTTTCATAAAATCTGTAAAATAAAAACACTCTTATATAATCACATAACTTGATATATGCATAAGGGCTGTATGGTGAAATTAATTTGTGCTCAATTTGCTTTTAAAAGCACATTCTACACCAATGTGCAGAAAAACTTTTTTCTAGGGTGTAGTTGTGTTCTCTGTTTTTTTTTATCAGCCAAACCGTAACACTGCAATTAAAGTGTTTTATTGTCCTTTTACTGGGGAACAAAACTGTAGACTCAAGAACCAATAAAGCCCAGACAATAATATGACTGGTGATGTGCTGTTTAATTATAGAGTAAAGCGTGACAATTAATAGCACTGTTGGCCATATTCAAATACGTCATGCCATTTTATTGACTGGAAAATTAAATCCACTGAAAAGATTTCAGCCTTAGTTTGACATTACACGTCAGAGCCGAGTGGAGCCGAGAGCTCATCCGTAGGGGCTGAATCTACGATTGTCTGTAAAACTGTCTCTGCAAACTAAAACAGTGCTAGATCAGCAACGGACAACATGATGTATTCATAGAGATGAAATTCAGTCAACATGGCAGTCAAAGAAGTACCTCTGTCTGCTCTTTTCACAAAGAACGGTGACATTTGCTGATTGGAAATATTTAAATGTGACAAAAAACTCAAACAGCAAAACTCTCTGAGGGCTAAATAATTATTTTCCAGCACTCTAGAATTCCTAAATGCTTATTCAGCCTTAATCTAACATGATGTTTCTCACTGCTGCAGGTAAAATGTGATCAATACTGGCCCACCAGAGCGACGGAGACGTACGGTCTCATCCAAGTAACGTTGCTAGATACAGTAGAGTTGGCCACTTACTGTGTCAGGACATTTGCACTTTTTAAAGTAAGGATTTCTTCTAGTGTTTACTTCAGCTAGAGTGAAGCAGTGAAGTGTTTGACGGGTTATTCGTCGTCTTCCATCTCCATGTTCAGAACGGCTCCAGCGAGAAGCGAGAGGTGAGGCAGTTCCAGTTCACCGCCTGGCCAGACCACGGGGTACCAGAACACCCCACTCCATTTCTCGCCTTCCTGAGACGGGTGAAAGCCTGCAACCCTCCAGACGCAGGGCCCATGGTGGTGCACTGCAGGTATGAAGCAACATGGTTTTGCAAAAAATATCCTGAAGCATGAAATTGATTTTTTTTCCTCTCCATTTCCCGTAATGAATAAATGAATGCACGCTGTACAGCGTAAAACAAACATATTCCTGGTTATTTAGAGGTTCGTATTTTAGTCATTTGTGTAATGACGATATTAAGAAGAGCTTCAGCTTCAACCAGGAGTATTGATAGGACTTTCACCTGAACTCAGAAGGTGTTTTCTGCATCACAGCACAGGGAGTACCGATGTCGTTCCCCGGAGCGTTCGCCACCTACACGCATGCAGGCTGTCCTGACATATTCCACACCGCATCACTAACATGTCGCATATCACCAGCCCACAAGGCTTTATCTCCTCGGTTAATACGTCCAAAACCAAAACAAACATGCACGCTGATTTTCCATCGCCAACAGAGAGCTGCAACATTAAACAGAAATTCCTGGCATCTCTTAACTCAGGGAGTCATCAGACGCTTTGAAGGAAAAAGCAACATAAGGAGTGAAAGAAAGGCAACAAGAAGCAGCGACTCTGAGTGTAACAGATGCAAACTTTTGTTAGAAACTGACAAAAAAGGAAGGGGGGGGTGGGATTACTGAAGACTTAGTGTAGAATTACCACATGCTGAAGTTAATTAGTGCGAGTTGGCAAACTGCTTCAAATTAAAAGAAGACGAAGAAAAACTGTCTACTAAAGGAGGAAAAATGCAGGAATTAATGTCACACTGCTGATTGGGGGTTTGAAACGCCTCTGGCTTCCCATCAGATACAGTCGTCATGTCCACGCTCAAAATCCTTCACCAGGCCTTTCCTAATTTCATGTCTCACCACCAGCATAAATGGAGCGAGTGGTTCTATTCACAAACTTGCAGAACACCACTGGTTAAGCTGTGAGATAAAAATTTGTTTTCCTCATGAAATCTGTACAGATTTTGACGTTTCCAGGCGGTTCAGGCACATAAAAACGGGTCTAAATCACACCCAAAGGACATTAAGTTGTACGTACAAAGGCGTCTTACGCAACACCGCAATGAGGGAATATTTATAACTTGTCCAGATCGTTACGCGTAGGTCTTTCCTCAAAAACGAATAATTGTTTGCATCTTCTTGGTCACTTTTGTCTGCATTAATCCATAAAGACGACACAAGACTCAGATTTCATACTGTTAAATAAATGCAGATGTCTGGAATAAACAGCCTTACAAAGCAAAACCATCAAAAAAAGTTAATAAAAGTAGAGTGCACATTGTGTCACGCACTGTCATGCAATACAATTAATATGAGGTTTTGGTGGGTGGTTAATCCATCACCTACTGAAATGCATTCCCCTATGCTGGCTTATGAAATTCGGTTGCAGGAACATTTTTAGCATGCTTCCATCTTCCGTCATTTAGACTTTAAAGACATTTTCTCTCCTGGAGAAAACAGTCTAGACCAGAGTTCTGCAACCTGTGTCTCTGGAGATGAAACTGGCCCTTTGGATCAATAATATCTCTTAATAACTTTGGATAGAAATGGTCAAAAACTAACTCATGTTTTTAAATATAAATGCATTTTATTTTAAAAAATGCAGGTTTAAGCAGTTTTTTCATGGAATAATTGCATTGAGTTTCCATAGCAGAATTACACTAATAGGGGTTTCACACCTGATACCGCTTGGCCCGGCCCACATTGCATATATTGTTTTCGTACCTGGGTGGCCCGGTACTGTTCCCTCTCCTACCAGGTGGTTTTTCAGCCCTTTTCCTCTGGTGGTCTGCTCAGGGCTAGCCCGGGCCAACACGCCCACTACGACTGATTGGTCAGCTCAAATACACACCTACCGTTAGGGGGAGCCTCTGATTGGCGGATAGAATCAACCACTGGGGGTTCCTATAGCCGCAGTTCATTATCATTCATTACCGCAGTAGACTGAAACTGCGGCAGCTCGTCCTTTTTTCTCACTGCTGTGAGTTGTGTTTCTGTGTAGCTTGCAGATCACTGTACACTGTTTACACATCACTTCATGCCATTTTTGTATGGCGTAAAGATCGCATTTCAAAATCTGTTCAATGTATTTTTTGCATGATTGTCCACAAATATCAATCTCCCATAGAAAAGAAAAAAAATCTTTGTAAAAGTGTTATTTTTTTCTTTATTTTAAAACCGAATAATAGAAACAAAATGCTGATTCCCCCCCCCCCCCCCCCCCCCCCTTTTATTACGACAACTCTCATAGTAGATTTTTACAAACAGAAAAGACATTTCTTTTTCTCAGAAATCTGGGGGACTTTTTTTTATTGGCTTCTTGTTTTTTTGGAGTGGCACTAATCCTCTTCCGTACATTGATTACAATGCATAACCTGTCCCTTTTCAAAAGGTCCTCTACTAGTCGCAGCTGTAAATAAGTTTGATTTAGGTGTACTGAATGGAAAGGTTGCAGACGTGGCTCTCAAGGCTAAAGAAAAGTTCAAAAGGACAAGATTAAAAGTTAAAAAGATCACAGCCTCTTCCAGCCACCCAGAAGGAAAACCTTTTGATAGAACAACGTGAGCAACTTTAAAATATTCACGAGCTAGACATTTCCCCCGACTGATGTTGTTGTACCCCACCTGTTCAAGTCATGCAAACAAGTTCATGTTTTAACTGCCTTGGAAGCATAAATAAACTTACTTTTTGGGTCCTTATGACTGATTTTACCTACAAATTAGATTTCAAACACGTTTAGTTTATTCACTATCCTTGGTGATGACATGTAACCTAAATTTGAGCTGCTGTTAAAATGCTTTTTTACCTACTCGAGTGTTTCACTGGACTACACCCAGCTGGGTATTTGAGTGTAGCAGACCTTCTCTTTCTTTGCACAGAATCTGTTGGAAATGACTAAAAGCGGTTTCCCTGCAATAAAACACCCAATACTATGTTTGTCCACTTTTCAAATTTTCATTACAAACTGCTCTAATGGTCAAGTATAAGGGCTGGACAGAAAATCAGTGAAAAAGAAAAATTCTTGAACATTCGGTCAAGATCACTTTAAAGAAAAACATAAAGATTTTTACAACTTGTGAATTGATTACAACAAATCTCTCATAGTAGATATTTACGACACAGGAATCTAAAATTTCTCACTTTAATCACATAATTCTTACTTTACTCTCAGAAAGTGAGAAAAGAGACTTTTTTTGCTGAGTGCCACTAATCATCTTCCGTAGTTTCATCAAACATTGTAAAAGGTCTTCTAAAGTTGTAAAGATTTTTACAACTTTTGTACTGAAACCCACAGTCTAAGGAAGGGGTATTCAATTCCAGTCCTGCAGGGTGATTCAACCTCTGAATCTAGTGTGTTGGAGCAGAGAAACCACTAAAACGTGCTGGATACCGGCCCTCCAGGCGTGGAATTGAATACCCCTGGAGTAGGGAAACATCTTCTTCATCATGAGACCTTCCTGCAAGCCCGTCTCACCAACTGAAGGAGGAAACACCGACGTCAACAATCAGTTTGTTAGAACAAACTCCCCACCTTTTTACTTTAATAAATCATTATTTTCAGTTCACACAATCAATGACGACCAGAGTTACCATCTTCCTCGTTATGAGCAAACCAGTCATCCTGGTGGGTTTAATTTAATACATGTGCACATGTTTTATAAGCAGAGCAGCAAAATGGTGACAGTTTAGCTGACAGCTAGAGATTTCCTAACAATACATATGTAATTGCTTTCACTGCTGCTAATGCTTTATCTTCACAGAACCCACTGCAGCTGTGTTTTACGCACACGCACACACACACACACACACACACACACACACACACACACACACACACACACACACACACACACACCTCCCAGGCCTTATTCCCTAAACTGTTGGGAAGCATATTAGTCTGACACTTTAGTGTGTGTCAACGTCCAAGGCAGCTGCTTTTGAATAGCTGAAAAGGCAGTGTCAGGTCATTAGTGCGGTCAGTCCGCCAGCTCCCCTTCAGCTGCCAAATGTACTGACAGCTTTCTGCACCAACTCACCCCAACACACCATCCCTTGTCAATAAAGAAATATTACACATGTTTCTTGCATTTCCCGCTGCTTCGTTTAGAAGAGAAGTGTGAAATTCTGCAGCTCAGCTTTTGGAATAACGTAACTTGACGAGTTGTGGATACGTGTTGGTTTCTCCGGCTGCATGACACTGCTCCACCTTCCCTTTCCCCATTTCCCTTCCTCATCCCTCATCCTCCTCTGTCTCCGTCTCTCCAGCTCTGCGCTGTCACACTGTCATTTACTCTCTAGCAGGTCATCACTCTCCCACGTTCAAGACTGCAGCATAAATGTTTTCAGCTGGGGTAAAAGAGAGGAAAAAAAGAGGAAATCTCCAATTTCTCCATCCAAAGCCCCAAGGAGCTTTGGTGTATTTTTTTTTTTTCCCAGACCTGGAAGTGATTCATTCCCAGAATATCCCCAGGATGCTTTTTTACATTTCTTTCCACAAGTTTTCCTCATTATACTTACGTGCACTTTTTTCAACTCTGAGCTAAGCGGAGTTTTGTCACCTAAACGTCTCATTTGGAGCCATTTTATAAGCGATCACGAGATGGTTTTGTTGGGGCCAGGGCCTCCCACGTGTGTCTTTATTCCATTTTGATGTGCGGCACGGCACGTTAACTAGACTTGGCCCTTGGGGACCGGCTTCACTGCCTCTTGAGTTTCTCAGCTCTCAGTTCCTTTGCAGCAAATAAAAGCACAAATGCCTCCTCGGGAGGACGAGGTGGCACGTGAGCCGGGCTCACACCTCACAGGCACGTCAGCTTAATGAACTGAATAACCTATTTACCTTTGAGTGCCACGTGCAAGGACTTGTCTTGTCAATGCTAAGCTATGTGGGAGGATTCTACACAACCCCCATTTCTCTCCATCTTTTATTCTGATTCAAACATGCAGGCTTTTCTGAGCTGTCAGCAGTGTGGTTTTGCTAGGAAAGGTCAAAGTGAAACACTTTGCCTAAGAGTTGTTTTCTTTGTTTTTCTCCCACCTGTGTATTTTACACACTAATGTACAAATGTGCCAGTGTGAATCTTAATGAAGAGACCTGCCTTTCAGTGCCTCTTAATAAGCTCTCATGCCATTTAGGTGCGCGACGTTAATCTAACGGCCTTAATTGTAGTCAGCTGCACTTCTCTGAAGTCGCCCGGCACATTAGCAAGACCACGCAGGAGGAAAAAATAGAAGATGTTCCTCTCAAATTTGCCACGGTGTTTCACATTTGCTGTAGTGGCACTTTTCCAAACCACGAGCTAAAGGTTAAAAGTAGCTATTACATGAGTGCATGAGGTCCGGTGAGGTGCAGGGCACAGGTGAGGTCTGCAGGCCAAAGACTAGATTGTGAAACCAGTGTTGAGTGTGCTATAAGCCTTCCTTCGTTTTTGAGCAGAGCCACTCCAGATTCAATTATACCACAAGGGAAATGGCTCATTCTGCAGTGACAGACTTAGTGGAGTGTTACTTTTGACCTTTCAGAGACAATTCCTCAATCAACAGTAAGAAAGAGGGACAAAAAGAGGCGGGAGATATTGATTAACCTTATGGCCTCAGGGATGAAGATGTTGTCCAGGCTTTCAAGCTCCTCGTTCTTCTGCCTAAAGGGTGAATGGTTCATGGACTGGATGGATAGGGTCCATCATTATGGTTTTTGCTCTGGTTCTGTGTCTGCTAGTGTAAGATGTCCTCTAAACCAGTGGTTGCCAAACTTCAGACCCTGAAAGTAGCACTTATCTAGACACGCTACCCTAGATATGTCAGGATCGGCTCCTTTTTCCTCTGGTGTGTTGTCCTGTCTCCCCTCATTCTGTTTATTGGACTCACCTGCCCCTTGTTATCCTACCCACCTGATTCCTGATTGTCCTCATGTACTTAAACCCTCTGGATGTGCTGGTCTTTGTCATATCCTCATCTGGTCTTCCTACGGTATCGTCCTGCATGCCATTGTTCATATTAAACAGTCCTTTTGCCTGCCAGGTTGTCTCGTGTTCCTACTCACCTGCATTTGGGTCCTACTGCAACCAACTCCACATCATGACAATACCTCTGATTTAACATGACAAAAATGCTAAAAATCCAACTAATTTTTTGCTTAGTTTATTTTAAGAGAGGACATTGCATATTTATGGACAGTAATACAAAAGTCGAGGTGATCGCTCCTTCCAGACTGTTGCACCCCGACTCTGGAATGATCTTCCTCTATCTTTACGTAGCACTGACAGTCTGGACACTTGTTTAAAAAACAGCCAAAGACCCTTTTATTTAAAGCTCCTTTTACCTAAACCTTTTATTTTCTTATTTTTAACTCAAATTTGTAATCTTTCATCTGTTTATGAAAATTAATAATTTTATGACTTCATTTTTTCTGATGTTAATCAAATTCTGTTTTGAGAGCATTTTGATTGTATGATAATCTGTTTATGATTTTATGACTTTGTTGTATTTTGTTTTGATCTATGTGAAGCACTTTGTGATTCTATGTCTGTGATAAGTGCTATATAAATAAAATTTACTTACTTACTTACTACAACTGTAAATATGCCAGATTGTAGCCCTAGGCTAATTTCCATCTGCAGTCCTCTGGCAGGTCAATGTAATAAGAGATAAGACAGAAAACAATATACATTTAGAAAAAAACAGTTAGGAACATATTTTATGGAAAAAGACGAGTAAAAACAAATAAAAGTGTCATCTATGATTGCATCTTTGAGTTTCCTGTAGCCACATTTAATAGAACTTCTTCAGCTCATGTTCAGTTATACACATTTAGGACCATTTAGTTGAGGTTTTGTAACAATTATGCTAGAAATATAGCTTCAGCTATTACTTTTTAATCATATTTTGATTAAAAATTATCACTTGACCCCCATTCATAGTTCTTGGTGCCCTACCCAACTTTGGGAACCAATGCTCTAGTGGAGGGAGTTAGCTGTTGGTCATTTATTCAAGCAGATTTAACCACCTTATCTAGCAACCACTAATAGATTCCCAACATTACCATAACTGACCAGTGTTTCCAAAGATGAGGTGTGAGCTCTTGTGAAGTACATCACAATTTTGCCTTGGTTATTTAGTGCATGCAGGTACACTGTTGACTGCTTTTCTTTTCGCACAGATGGGTTTAATGGCCGTTTTTCTTCGCTGACTAACTTTAGATCAGTTGTGTTCTTTTTTTTTTTTTTTTTTTTTTTTTTTGCAAAAACAGTTTAGTCCTTGTTTTTATTCTGCCATAAAAAAGGAAATTATAGAAGGGCCACATGTTAAGTCCTGCATAAAATACCAGAACACATTCTCGGGAACTCAAAATAAATTCATGAGTCACTCCCAGGTTTAATAACCCCACATAGTTTTTAGTTCCATTATCCATCTAAATGTATATTTATGTAGCTACGCAAGTCATTTTAAACATAATTTGGTTTGATCTTAGTCTAGACATCTGTTGACAATCTAAATGTCATTTAGGCTTCTTGTTAGCCCAAAGTTGTTTACCTTACTTGCCTCGTGCATTCTCTCTGACCTTTGTTCTAACATTTTCCACTGCTTCTGACAACAGTGCTGGAGTTGGACGCACGGGTTGCTTCATTGTGATTGATGCCATGCTGGAACGTATCAAGCACGAGAAGACCGTGGATATCTACGGACACGTAACGCTAATGCGTGCCCAGCGCAACTACATGGTGCAGACAGAAGACCAGTACGTCTTCATACACGACGCGCTCCAGGAGGCCGTCAATTGCGGCACCACCGAAGTGCCCGCCAGAAACCTCTACGCCTACATCCAGAAACTGACTCAGACAGAAGGTGGAGAGAATGTCACTGGCATGGAACTTGAGTTCAAGGTTTGGCTTGTCTACAACTACATTCTGTATCAAGTTTTACGTCAACCTTTTTGTCTAAACTTGCATTCAAGCAGCCTAAACTGCATGAGGCCTGTGGTTACTTCTTTTTTTAAGTCAGCATACTCACTTCCTTATCAAAATATATTCTCTATTCCTCTTTATTGTTTTTCCTCCATTCAATATCTCCCTTTTTTGAGTGACAGTGATCTTAGTTTACCTGAAAAAGGCCTGGCAAAAGTATTTTCTACCCAAGAATTATTGCCAGAAAAACCCCAGCATTAGAATATAGCTTTAAGAATAAGAATTTACCTATCATTAGTTGTATCCCCCTTACAAAATGCATTATTTTTGAATGAAACTCTTATTTCAATTATATTTTGGAGGCATTATGTCAAACAAGCTTTGTTTAGCTGCTTTAGACATTCAGCTAGACGTCATTATGTTGACAGATCTTTATTTTTGTCACCACACAGCGTTTAGCTAACACTAAAGCCCACACATCACGATTCATCAGTGCCAATCTCCCCTGCAACAAGTTCAAGAACCGCCTTGTTAACATAATGCCATACGAGTCCACGCGAGTGTGTCTTCAGCCCATCCGAGGAGTTGAAGGCTCAGACTACATCAATGCCAGTTTCATCGATGGGTACAGGCAAGTGCAAAAACACGCCTAAAAACAAATAACAACCAAGCTCTGTACAAGAAAAGCTGCTGGCAGGTAAATAATGTATCTACGTTGTGACTTTATGTTGCATGGTTTCAGGCAACAGAAAGCTTACATTGCAACACAGGGACCACTGGCAGAGACCACAGAAGACTTCTGGAGAATGCTCTGGGAGCACAACTCCACCATTGTAGTCATGCTCACCAAGCTTAGAGAAATGGGCAGGGTACGCATTTTCCATTCTGATCACTTTGTTCTGGCAGCTTCATATGAAATGAATATATTTATAAGGATGAATGCAATAATCTACAGGGATTTGACTCACTGTGGTTTATTTCTGCAGGAAAAATGCCACCAGTACTGGCCGGCAGAGAGATCAGCCAGATATCAGTACTTTGTGGTGGACCCCATGGCTGAATACAACATGCCCCAGTACATCCTGAGGGAGTTTAAAGTGACTGATGCCAGGGTACATTTATTTTCTTTTATTTAAAAAAATGATTGAAAGATCGGGGGCAATAAAAAATACAAATTCAGGTTATGATTAAATGTTGAGTTTTGCAGGATGACTACATCAAATTCTCGCTCGAAAGTGCAAAGATTAGGCCAATGTATCAGCCTGGCAAGTCATGCTATACATGTGATTATACAGTCTGGCTATGACCCATAGACAGAGCTCAGTCGTGGGGCAAAATCTATGGTTGTCTTTCAAACTGTCTCCACATGCTATTGGACAACGAACAACGTGACATACTCACCCCTACAGATGTCAGTCAACAGGACAGTCCTCCATGCATTGTTGAAGAAGATGCAAAGACTAATGATGGGTCCAGCAACACTGATGCACTGGCAGATGTATCTGGCTCATTAGAGCAGCACCCACGTCGGTGTGCGTATCGTTTAGGAAGTAGTCACGTGACCGATACAGCTGCTGTGTCACTCGTCAGTGACGCGTCGAACTGTGTTTAAATGCAGCAGTGTCTCAGTCTGTCAACAGGATGAGTTTCTGTCACAAGTACAACTTTTGAAGCTAAATTATTCCACTGTTACATCAAGGAGCCAGAAAGAAAATGTAAGATGGTTCATGAGGGATTATTTTGTTCTATCGACACATAAGTTATTAGTTTTTATTTCCTTGTTTCATCCTGTTCCTTTCAGTTTCTGCTTGATCCATCAGAAAGTTGTTTCTAAATTATTCTTTTTAAATCATTCATACTATTTTATGCAGGTTAAACGTCCCGTTTGTTAAACTGAACCTCCATATATTAATAAAAGAATGCCGTCAATGCTGAGACATAGCAGAGAAACGCGTGGGAATTTGGCCGTCCTGCTGGTCGTCATAGCGATGAGGTTGGGGTGGGGGTGCCGACCGGACTGGCCCAAATTGGATAAACAGCCCACCTGGACTTCATTTCAGTAGAGTCTCACTATTAGGTTTACTTGCAGTGTTGTTTATAATCCAGCAGGTGTCAGTAGACCAACCTGTTGAAACAGTATCGATACAGTTTGGGTAATGTGCTGAAACGCCTCACGAGGCCTCATCTGCCCATCACTGGCAAATACATCCTTTTTCTAAATAAAGGACTTAAGTACCTCTATCTGCTCTTGACTCAAAGTTGATGTCAAAGCCGTTTCAAATGAGCTGACACCATCTTAGTTGTTCTGCTCCGTCGCATCATCCCGCCCACCAAATTGATAGAGCACCGTGATTGGCACAACACAATACTGCTTAGGCCGATGGTAGAACTGCTGAGGCTCCAATGGAGCTTAGCTAGACCAATATGCTGAGCAAAAATCTTTTGCTTCTGCTACTGTATCTGGATTTGTAGGCTACCAATGTATAGTTACAGTGCATGTATAGTAAAATTGTAAAAATTTCCTCAAACATAAACTAATCATTTTAAATTTTTATTTGAAGAAGGAGGAGAAGAAAATATCTTTTCTATAGCGCCTCTCAAGATAAAAATCACGTGGCGCTTCACAATAACAAAAAAATTAAAATATAAAAAAGAATTTAGAAAATGATTACAAATATGTTTAAAATGAGCAAAAATAGACCATTTGTTTTCTACTGTGACACATGCCTGAGATACAGAAAGCCAAAAAGGGCAGCATTTTTTTTTTTACTTATTTCGGCAGAATCCCGTCCTGTATGTTCAGAGGTTTGTTTTCTATTTTGTATTATATATGACTACCAAAGGTTAGAGTATGCCAAACCTGATTAAATCACACATTTGGATGTATCTATGTGGTTTTTCTAAAGGTGTAAAAGGCAGATGAAAAATCCCAATGGAAATCAGAGAATAACAGCAGAATATAAATAAAAGAGCACCCTTAATAAGAAGGTCTTAGACCGTAATTCCTCACATTCATTTGAAGTTATCATTAGAACAAATTTTTGGCATTTACTCACATATTTGTTTACACCAAACTATGGCCTTGAGTGTTACAGCAGTGTAAATGTAAATATGTGAAAATGACACATTTCCCTTTGTAAAAAAATAAATAAAAGTTGTGCCGGCAGCACTGAGCTGCCACAGTTTCTAATTCCATCAAAGGCTTAGACAGATAAATGGTGTAGACTCCCCTCCTTTGTAGAGCATGTTACACTGTCTCGTCAATGGGATTGGTTTCCTTATCAAGGGGGTGCAACTTCTCTTAAGCAATGCACATCCTCAAAGTTGAGATTCACACGTCAGGTTTAGCACATCAAAACCATTAGCATCTTTGGAGTTTATGTTAAATAGGTAAAATGAGAGGCATCTTTTAAAAAAATGACTTTGATGTTTTAATTTTTTGGTCCAATCATTAGTAAAACGGTTGTGAAAGGAATATTTCCTGTTTGGCATTTCTTTTCTATTTCCTGTTTGGCATTTCTTTTCTATTTCCTGTTTGACATTTCTTTTCTATTTCCTGTTTGACATTTCTTTTCTATTTGGTTTCAGGACGGACAGTCACGGACAGTAAGGCAGTTCCAGTTCACAGACTGGCCTGAACAAGGAGTGCCAAAATCAGGCGAGGGGTTCATCGATTTTATTGGACAGGTACATAAAACGAAAGAGCAGTTCGGCCAAGATGGGCCAATCACAGTCCACTGTAGGTAAGTGACCAAAGCAGAGCATTCAGTGTTTCACAAGTTATTGTTCTTAAAGTTTCAGTTCTTTTAGGGTCTCTTTTTTTGTCATTTTTGATTTTCAAATTTCTGTAAATCCTTGTACTACGGTAGAGTTTTGTTATTTGTGTACTTTTAATGCCATGACAAAACACATTGCACATGCAGTAGCTCAGGCGGTAGAGCGGGTTGTCCAGTAATCAAGTGGTTGCAGGTACGCCAGTCAGGCATCCTTTTACACTTGCCTGCTGGTGGTGGTCAGAGGGACTGGTGGCGCCAGTGTTTGGCAGGCCTCGCCTCTGTCAGTGCGCCCCAGGGCAGCTGTGGGTGCATCGTAACTTATCCCCTACAGCGTGAATGTGTGTGAATGGGTGAATGACTGATTGTGTTTGTGATTTGTATTTCCTACCAATTGGTTGCAAAATGGTTACTATATAACAAATAACTATATCCACAAACCCTATGCACCGCCACGCGTAGGTTTCTGAATTGAAGCCCAGTAGGTGGTTGCCACCACCGCCACCTTGGCTGTGGTGTCTCGTCACTCCTGGAAAATACACAAATGGAGCTGAGAGCAGGGCTGTGAGGGTGGGGCAGATGATTGACACCCAACAAACTGAGATGATGCAGCTACAAGCTAACGGAGCTGTTGGTGGGCATTTTTTAGACAGAAAATCTCGGTTGAGTAACTCTGCTACCCTCTGCCTTCTAGGCTTTAACACTTTTGACGTGAGGCCATTGCTGAGCCCTTTCTTGGAGCAAGCAAAGGGGCAGGCTGCTAGTGCTAAAGCTGACAGCTCTTCTTCAACTTGTCAATCAATTTGACATGCCTTTAATTAGTCATTATGTCAAGCTTTAATTACATCAAAATTAATGAGTTACACAAAAAATTCACCCCCTCAAAATTGCCATGACTGCAATTTTGACCTATTAAACCTAAAATATTTTTTGAACCAGGCTGTAAACATGTTTATTTCTGCTGTGAGGTTGGCATTTTTAACATAAAAGGCAATGGGAACTGCAGTTTTTGGTCACTTCCGTGTTGGCTTCACTTTTGGCAGCCGAAGATTCCCCCTGGTATCTTACACATGTACTGTTTCAGGTAAATATGACACAGTGATAAGCTGGTTAATTCAAAAGTGTACTGTAGTAGATTAAATCGTCCACATTGAGGCAGCTGCCAAGGGGTGTACAAAGGTGGCCTTGGTGAGTACAAAAGGCCTGTGGCAGGTGGCCCATAACATTTTGGCTATAAAATACAACCTATTAGAAATGTAAACTAAACCCACACATCAACATGTAGAGAGGACTACCTACCATGCCATGAGCTATATACACAACTGCAAAATCTTTATGAACTAGCATGAGTTCAGGATAAAAAAAAATTGAAATCATATCTAATAATCAATTAAACGTTCAACTCAAAGTTTGATATAATAGATCAAACTGACTAAAGCTTTATTTTGAATTTAGAAATTGAGATTTTCATCTTAGCAAATGCAACAAGGACTAAAATGTTGAAACTCAAACATTATTCCATACTTGGATATCGTGTTGTAAAGTGAAACTTGGAACGGATGGCTTTTAAAAAAGTTAAAAACACCATTCTTTTTATCTACTATTCAAAAATCACATTCACAGTAAGCATTTCAAGCCACTAAATGAATATTTTGCCCTTTTGTTTTCTGTGACGCAGCGCGGGTGTTGGTAGGACTGGAGTTTTCATCACCCTCAGCATTGTCTTGGAGCGAATGAGATACGAGGGTGTAGTAGACATCTTTCAGACGGTGAAAATGCTACGGACACAAAGACCGGCTATGGTACAGACAGAGGTGAGAAGTTCACTTTTTAGTAAAAGAAGAAAACTGCACTGTAGGTGTTTGAGAAAATGTAGAAAACAAAGAGGCATCTACTGTAGGTTGTTGTTTTTATTTTTCTAGGGAAGATTTCAAGAATCCTTCTGAGCCACAGAGATAAATGCATAAGCAATACTTTGTAAAAGTAGCTGAATCAGTCCACTGCAGTCTTATTGCATCATTTCAGAAATACTTGCCAACATTTTCACACCAACTTGTATTTATATTTGTTTATTTGAAGCAAAGAAGAGGTTATTCAAATGCAGTTAATGGATTATTTGTAACTTTAGTATCAAATTAGAATAGGGGAATGAACGTGATAGAGGATTTTTGACATTAATGGCTTCTCTCTTTCCAGGATCAATACCAATTCTGCTACAGAGCTGGCTTGGAATATTTGGGAAGCTTTGATCACTATGCAACGTAAAACACCCAGTACTGGAAGATAAAAGTGGAGGGCCCCTTGGAAAAAGCGAGCCTCTCTTCTGAGCCATAAAATTCCTGCTTGAGAAAGTACTCCTTAACTCCTTGCTAACAGTTCGTTAAGTGTCGGATGTGTGACGTGACTCGTCAATAAAATGAAAAAGAATTTCCGGAGGACCAACTATTTCCGTAACCCCTTTCCTGCTCCAATAACAAACTTCGCCTTGGTACAAGACAAGGGAATCCTGACTTTTGAAGCATCATGTGGAATTACTTTTTTTGTTTGCTTCAAGGATTCATTTTGGGGGCTCAGAAAAACTCAATGAAACTAACACAAGAAAAAAAACTGAACACTTCTCGAACAATACCGCCAGAAATGCATCAGTGATAATGACCCATAACGAGAGATGACGGAGGCACACGGAAATGCAGATGGACACGACTCGATATGCACTGTAAAACAAAAAAACAATCACAATCAGTCCACATCATCACAAAAGAAGACTATACGTGGTCAACAAGAGCAAGACAGACTTAAAGTAATAATGAATAAAAATATCCCTTTTTTCACTAAGTTTATCATTTCAATTTGGGGCAGAGTCAAAACGAAATAAAAACTATTGATTTAGTTTTTTAGTATTTTATTATTCAGCTGATGTGCTTTTTTTGAACTGTGTGATTTTTCTTTTTTTACAACAACTTATCGCTTGAAGGGGGAAAAGCAACAAAACATGTTTGGTTCTGTTGTTGATTTTTAAAGCTGTAGAAGTTTTCTAACGTATGTGCCGTTTCTTGCAGAGAATTGTCGTTTTCATTTTGTTACACATGGTGCAAAAGAACTCACACAAACCAAAACACAACTTTGTTTAAAAGTTACGTTTTGGTCAGTGTGCTCATTTTTATTTTTTTGTTTATTGTTCACAATTACTTTCATTGTAACTTAATTACTTCCATTATGAAAACTGGGGATTTGCTGAATCAACAGGGATGAGCAAAGTATGAAGCTGCTGCTACCAATTATCTTAGTTCTTCCATTTTTCAATGATACGAGAGAATTTGATGAATTGAAAAAGAGAATATATACACATATACATATATAAGATTATGGTACAGATTGTTGAATATGTGTGAAATATGTATATGAAAGTATAGATACAACAGTACATATATAGATAAATTATATACAGAGGTGTTTGAAAGCTTTCAGGGTGAGAGGTATGTGCTAGGAGGGAAATGAATATATTTTTCACTGGAATGCACATCAGTAAGACAAAACTGTATTCTGATTCAGTGCATATTTTTTCTTGTGCAATAACTGTGTTTTAGATTAGGTTTTTATGTGGATATGTCATTCACTCATGGCATTATTATAATCCCCTACCAATAACCCAGGTAGTACCATATGGCAGTCTGATTAAAGCGGGGTCCTTCACAGTAACACCGACAGTAAATGGTACGGACTTCACTTTTGTTTTCGTGATATATATCTATACATATATAGATACAGATATGTTTGTTTCTTTTTGCATTTAGAGTGCCTTATATTTATGCCTGTTTTTATAATGTTTCCTTTATCGTTAATGTATCCTTTCCATAATGTAAGCTTTTAGTGTAAATTGCAATGTAGAGTTATTTACCCATCATTTGTCACAAGATGAGATTATAATATATGCAAATAAGAGCATTTTAGAGGTCGGAGATTTCATTTTCAGTGGCCTTATCACGGCTGAGTGAATTAGAGTAAAAGAGTGGCTGTTAAAACACAGATGAGATGGAGGGGAAAAAAGTACCACATCTCCACAGGCCCAGAGTTTTAAGGTGGATAACTTCTATTTTTAAAGTAGATTTGGTGAAAGCATGCACACTGAAAGTTCTCCGTGCCATCTGAGGTCATGCGAGAGTGGATTTAGAGAAAACAAAACACCCATTCTGTTATCCTGACAATCCTGAACAGTTGTGGGTGTTTTTATTTTTTTTTGTTTTTGTTTTTTTCGTAAAACAGGATTTTATTTATTGACCTTTCTTATGGCTTTGTGGATGTGCATTCCAGGTGCTTTCCTTTCCCCTTATCAACTCAAGTTATTTTTTATTTATATTTTTCTGCTTTCCTGTCTATATAATAATTTTCTTCATCTAGTTTTATGTTCATCAATTTATTTTTTTAAATGCATGGTAAAGAATTGCAGAGTTGGCCAAAAACTGGTCAAAGTAGGGAAGACTTGCACTTTCTCTTTGTACTATGCACTGCCCTATTGATTCAAAACCCAATAATATATTACTTGAACACATCTATTATTGGAAGAAAAAACCTCCTCAAACATTCACTTTGTGTGTATGTAAATAACACAGAAAAGGTGTTAACCTTTTGGAGGAAAAGACAAAAAAAAGTCTGTTGGTGGGGAAAAGAGCATCGATCTGATGCCATAGTAACTCCAGCAGATAACTTCAGATGAATCTGCCCCTCCGTGACCATCTGTTCTTGTGGCTTTGCCATTCAAGCTTGGAGTGTCATTAACAGAAATAAACGTTGTGTTCTCTGCTCTCTCTATCTATCTCTCGTCTGGATGCATAGACTGATAAATAAATAATGAAATTGTAAAAAGAAAAAAAAGGCTTGTTAAAAAGATTATACAATTACCTCTGATTAGTTGTAAGCGTAAACTGTTTCTTTTTTCTGAATGAAAGGAGTGCTTTTTATTTTCTTACTTAGGTCACATTGGTGGAGAAAGAAGTCTGTAAGAAAATCAGTTCTTTGCTGACACGAGTTCCATTTGTTATAAATGAATTCTATTAAAAAATGTCAGTGTTATGCATCGGCGTTTCGCTTGTTTCCCTCCACCTCACTTCGACTTGGAAAGACTGATGAAGCCATTTTACCCCCTGCTGGTCTGGGTCCAACACATTATCCACAGTTCTCTGGTGAAAGGGGGAAATTGAGTCTCACCACATTTGAACAGATTTCCATTGCTCCGTTTTTTCTGTTGGTGGTGTCAGCCACAATGAATCATCCCAGAAACCTCGAACAAATGAAGTGCAATGTTTTTATAAAAGCTGCGTTGCTTTTTAAAACTCTTAATTTTGGTCGCCCAACTGGCACAGTGGTGTGTTTTTAAATTGAAATAGCAACCTCAGTTCAGCTGTGTTAAAAGAAGTTTTCTAGCAGCATTAACTAATTCACTTTATGTTCCTAAAAATTTTCTTTATTACATATTCATATTTATTAGAGCTGCAGCTATTGAATATTTTAGTTCTCGAATATTGTAACGAATCGTCTGTCGATTAATCAAATGCTCTGATGACGTTTCAAGTAAAACGAGATTGTGATCAGCTGCTAAAGTATGACGTTTTTAAAAGGTTAAATAATTTGTATTAAAGTGGTGTTGTCTAGTTCCCTCTTTCCTATGTGATATTTATAGTTCATGAATATTTAATGGAAAAAACTTGACCTACATTTCATTAACATTTTAGGTTTGTATTATTATCACTCATATCTGCTCCATATTGCTGCAGGTTGCAGACATCCGTAAATAAACAGGATGGTGGGTGCAATATTTCCAGGAACAAGAAGTGAGCCACATCAGAGCTGAGCTTCAGACGGCAGGCTTTATAGTCTTATTTTTTTCATATTTGGATATCTCAGATTGAATAATAGCAATGTGACTCTACCACTGGCATAAAATGTGAATGTTTTATCTCCACAAATAACACAACTCTGAAGGAGCTTTTGCCATGTGATGGTGTTGCTAATGCTAACAGTAAGCTTCTACTAGTCAAGATGTTTTCTACCGTTTCCTGGACGCTAAAACAACAGCCTTCTCTATTGTGAGTCAAAATGGGTGAGTCCATGAATGTTAAGTTACAGCATGAAGTAGATCTGTCAGACTTTTCTAATCCCAGGGTGTTTCTCAATGTCAAGGCATCTGGCCTAGCAAGGCAATAGGCCAGGAGCCTTCCTTAAAAGGACACTGTCCTTCCTTGGTCAAAAAAACAGTTAAACGGAACAGACTTAGCTCACGTGACTGTGGCTTCTACAACGGTCACATCCCGTGACACGTGAGGTAAAGTTTAATTTTATATGTATAAGTTTCATTATAAATGTATAACAAGCCTTTTAATGATGCCTCGATAGAACATGACATTGGAACATGCCTTGGCGGTTCCTGATCTCCTAGGTAACCGGGGCGGGACCAAGACATCAAGGTGAGGTTCCTTGATGATGAGAAACATCTCACGAGTTGTACTTTCTATTTCTATCAGAAGCTAATGCAGGAGATAGGTGTAGGAGACTATTTTCAAATTCAGCCTGCATGAAACACTCAGACCAATTATAATCAGAAATAAGATTTTTGAATGGTTTTTCACATTTCACACCTCTTCACTTTTGTCTGCCACACCATCAGCACACCTTCTCCAGCCACTTTATTAGGTACATAAATTACATCTAACACAAGAAATTAATCAGCCAATCAAATTGCACCTCAATGCATTTAGGCATGTAGATGTGGGAAGACTTAGAAAAATTTCAGAATGATGAAGAAAAGTGGATTTAAGTGACTGAATGGGACATGGTTGCTGATTTATTAAAGAAACTGCTGATCTGGGTAAATCTGGACCCACAGCCAAATCCTATTTGCGGAGAATAACAGAAAATACCAACTTTGCTGGAAAAGCTATTTGGAATTCAGAAGTCATTTGGTAAACTCATCGGAAAATACATTAGTGCACATTATAATAAATACAGACGGAACAAGGAAAGGAAACATATTTCATTTGTTTAATTTTTCATGAAATAGAATAGTTGAAAAGTACTAAAAATGTTAGACTTCAAGATTAAAAGTTGCTGTGTGATGGCACAAAATCTGAGATACTCTACTGTCCTGATTAGCCTCAGAAAAAAGGCTGTTAACCACTTCTTATTTCTGCAAATCACGACTTAAACAAACTAACTTATAGGATACAATCCTATCAAAATAAGCTGTTGCATTTGTTATAATCTTCAGATGTTTGCATTAAAAATGAAAACCAAAGACCCCTTATGATGGAGTCTGGGAACTTTGGGTTGGGCTCTCCAATCTCTGCTGAGACCACTGAGGTGGTCAAAAAGCTCCTTGAAGGCAAGGCCCCAGGGGTGGATGAAATCTGCCTGGTGATCCTTGTTGTGGGGCTGTGCTGGCTGACACGGCTTTACAATATTACATGGACATCGGGGGCAGTTTCACTGGACTGACAGACCAGGGAGCTGGTCCTCCTATTTAAAAATGGTGTGTTCTAACTACCTGAGCCTCCCTGGTGAAGTCTATTCAGGGGTTGGAGAGGAGGGTCAGTTGGATTCTTAAACCTCAGATGTAGTCTTTCGCAGTTGTAATGTCCTTCAGAGATTTGACCCTTTTTTCCTGCTGGTGGTGGTCAGATGGACTTGTGACAAATATGGTAGCCTCTTATCTGTCAATGTTCCGTTTAGCAGCGGTGGCTACATTGTAGATAATCATCATCAGTGTATGAGTGGGTCAATCACTGTTGTAATGTAAAGCACATTGGGGGCTGTAGCGCTCCAAACGGTGTTATATAAATATAGACAATTTACCATTTATTATATGACATATCCATCATATTTAGCTACTACTAAAGTTTTCACTGAACAAATATGCTAAGTTGGCCATGAAAAGTCAATATGTCAATATGAGGGTCGTTGTTTCAACTAACATACCTTTCTCAGTGACCTAGTGGTATAGTGTCCGCCCTGAGACTGGGAGATCAGGGGTTCGATTCCTGGTCAGGTCATACCAAAGACTTTGAAAAAATGGGACCCAATGCCTCCCTGCTTGACACTCAGCATTGAGGGGTTGGATTGGGGGGTTAAACCACCAAATAGTTCCCGAGCGCGGCTGTGTCTGCAGCTCACCGCTCCCCCAGGGGATGGGTCAAATGTGGAGAACAAATTTCGCACACACACCTGTGTCTGTGACAACTATTGGGACTTTAACATACATTTCATCGGTAACAAGCATCACAGAGGCAAGAGCTGCAAGTGAAAGCTCAGAATTACCAACTTTCAGATGTTGCAACCGATGTACATGCAGCAAAGCATCTGTCCCATATCATTATTTTATATTTTAGTGTTGTAAAACTACTGATAGTGGGCAAAAAGGACTCATCATCCTGGAAAACCTTCGAAAAAGAAACATGATCATTCAAACTGAGCTACATGCACTACAATGAGAAAATTAACTACAAATGCTGGTTTAGACTGCCATATTGAAAAATGGTGACCATATTGGATTTTCAAATAACCAATCAGGCAGATTTGAAAATTACCTCAAGAGGTTTAAACCAAATTTTGGACATTTTGCACGTTTCTCTATTATCTGCTTCCCTGGACAGGGCTAAGACTAAAACCAAATGCTGAACAGGCAGATTATTCTGAATCACTACAGTATTATATCATCATGTAAGCAGAATTGCTTATGACACAATGTAAAATGTTTGCAGATTTCTTCATGGCAGGAAAGATGATTGCTCCTCCGTGCTCCTTGTTTCTTTCGATTTAATTTAAATGGGCTAAAATAAAACCGAGAACATCTTGAGCAGCCGTGCCGCGGTACACCTCTCTTTTGTGTGAGACAAGAACACAACAAGCGAGGGTCCCCTCCGCTGTCACGGTGTCTGGTTTTCTCTTCAGATGTGTCAAGCAGATGTTCCGTCTTTGTCTCCCAGCAGTTTCAGCAGAATTATGAAAACAAACAGCCAGTCACACACCCCTTCCACAATCCATCCCTCGTTTCTACCAACGACAGCTTGCACCCATACTCCCCCACTTCCCCGTGCTTCACTTTCTACATGCTAGATTTGTTGAAACATTTTGCCCAAATTGAGTTTTGGCACCTGTGCAGTTTTGCTCTCTACAGTGCAGACGAGATAAAGGACTGAGATGCTTTTATTTTGAACAAAATGACCTTGTGGCGTGCTCAAAGGATTCAATTAAATTGGCACTTAACTTTGATCATGAAGGCAGAAACTCAGCATCCGCTGTTGATGCTCCGTTCCTGTGCTCATAATCACCTGTGACCTCCTCATGAATTTCCAGTATTTTGTGATTCACTTTACTCTAATTTTTAGTTTTACAGTAGGACACTTCAAGTAGTTCTGCTCTGCATTTATGCATCCATTTTCCCATTAACACTGCGGCGAGCTGCTAACTACTGTAATTAAATGTAATATTGCAGGTGCAAATAAAATGCTTAATTAAAGAAAAGCTTTGTTCCCCAAAAATAAAAAGCTTTTTTGATGATCTTTGAGAAATTCATAACTGATGTTGATTCTGGACTAACTTTTTAATCATATGAATCTCAACAATAAATACTCTTCAGCCGTGCAGGTCATTGTGCAGAGAATGTTTGATACATACAAAGGAAGGAAGTTGTATTGATTAAGTGAGTTTTTAAATTTTTTTTATGAAAAACAAAAACAGTATGATCAATACCACAACATGCACCACATCTTTTATTTGCACTATTGATTTCCATTCTTTTTAAAAAGGGGTCCGTCGGATTGTCGAACCTCAAATTCATTAGGAGCAATGTGGTTTTCATCCTGGCTGTGGAACACTGGACCAGCTCTATACCCTTAGGGGGTTCCTGGAGGGTGTGTGGGAGTTTGCCCAACCAATCTTGATTAATCAATAAGTTCAGCATGAAAAGGAAATGCACTTCATCGGTTTATATATACCGGTATATACTTTTTTATTATTATTGCTATAATACTGTTGATTTAATGTGGTTGAAATGAGGTTTAGATTCTGTTCAGAAAAAT